GAATCGAAAAGTAGTTGTTTTTCAGCTAAATCGGGCGTGATTGTTCCTATATTTCGTTATTGAAGTGTCTTGGGTCAGCAAATCACAGCCCATGTGAAACCATTTGCTTGTGACCTCGCTGAGGTCACGCTAGGTCATCTCCCTGGTCACCAGAGGTCACCAGCGGTTTTTCTGCACTTACTTGTTATTGAATAGAGATAGAGACTCCGTTCGACGTTTATCGTGTTTGTCTCGTCAATGCGGATCGAATGATATGCAGCATGACCTATTTCGGTAAGGTCATGACCTTGACCTGAGGTCAAATTTTCAAAATGACCTTTCGAGGTCAAACTATATATCATTCGACGCGTCTCGACGAGCCAAGCACGATGGTGCATGAATCGTTTCTCTATTTTCTCGTGAATGCATGCTATAGTTAAAAACATTTTCAACGAAATTTGCCAAGTTGACCTTGCATGACCTCTGTAGGCCAAACCGTTGAGCTGAGGTCAAATCTGACGAACCTTGGCGAAAGAGCTTGAAAAGAGCTATCGATTGCTTTTTTCCGCGGCTCTCTAGCTCTTCTAGTTTCCGAGCTACAGCGGAATATGTCCGGCAACACCGAAAACACTGAAATTTGACCTATGATGACCTCTAGCGACCTCAATATTGACCTTAGCGAAAAAATGACCGAAATACTTTCGAACGTACTTGTTATGGGCTTTCGTTTGCTTTTTTCCGCGTCTTCCTAGCCCTCTTCGTTTTCGAGTTAGACGGGGGGGGTCATTTTGGCCCCCCCCCACCAGGGCGAAGGTGGCTCAGACCCACACCAGGGCGCGGGATATCCACAGAGACCTTTGAACTAATCGAAACCGCACCATCTTAGCTTTTCATTCGAAAATATGAATCACAAGCTTACCAATAATTGTATCACTCATTAGAATGTAACATTGCACTTTACACCAGCCTCACCCTTATCCAGGGCTTGAGGAAGACCTGGAGACGGGGACTATCCCCGTCATAAAAAAAAAACTCTGAGAATATGGGACTGCGCCCGGATTGGGAGAAGAAACAACCAAACCAGAGGATTTAACCGGGCCCCGGCCGAGGACACAGGACTATATCTTGCTGGGTATAGAGACTATCTGTTTGAACTGTAAACTACCATATAACAACACAACATCCCATTGCTAGCCCCGCTGGCTCCAATCGCGCACACACCGAGCGCCTTACCCTTGCTCCGATTCGATCGAGATACCACCCGTCCCGCCGTCCATTCACACCAGCACACCGGTAAAAAACGCACCGCCATGCATAGCTCGGCGGGTCGCCGGCTGCAGGCCAGATGAGGTCACGCCCGATCTACCAGCCCACCCCACTCCTCTTCCGATAACCGCACCCCGGCCCGGGCACGCACCGAGCAGCGTCAATTGGTCTCCGAGGCGGCCAAATTGAATGTCTATCGGACGCGCAATAAAGCACGCCAGCCGGCATGTTAAGCGCCGTTTTTATGTCGACGGGGTGTGAAAACAATGGGATGGGTCGACGGGCGGTCGACCGGGAGATTTACTCAGCTCGCCCTCGCCCGGCCGCCCGGCTCTCCCAGCTACAACAGGCGACAATTAGCTGCCGGAGAGAGCCAACGAGGTGTGGGGCGCGCGCGCGTACCGACTCCAAAACAAGGAAGCGGCGAGCACCAATGAGCGGAAAACAAGAATCAATCGCGGGTTACCGGACGGCCTGCCAGTCGGTAACGAGGTGGAACGCGGCAGGGGAGAGGAGAGAGAGAGAGAGAGAGAGAGAGAGAGAGAGAGAGAGAGAGAGAGAGAGAGAGAGAGAGAGAGAGAGAGAGAGAGAGAGAGAGAGAGAGAGAGAGAGAGAGAGAGAGAGAGAGAGGAAGAGAGGGAGAGAGAAAGAGAGAGAGAGGAGAAAGGTAGAGGAGATAGTGGAGGAATGTATTGGAGGAAGCAGAGAGTCGAAAACTATGGCAGTGCTGTTGAGATAACCGTGGAACCTTGATAGTTGGCTGAGCCCCTCTCTTTTACCTTTTTGACAAAAAATCCGAGATTTAACTAGTCAGCCTGCCACCACCAGTTCAAACAGCTAAATCCGTGGTTCGACTTGTGCCCTGCGATTACGTCCCAACGACCAGGCTGGTGGGTCGGGTCGGCTTGGCCCTCGTGCCGTGCGTCGTCTCGTGCGCGGGGCAGCAGGCGGCTGGCCTCTAATGTGAGGTGAGCGCGCCGCACCGGCGGCCCTTTGTCGGCACTAGCGGCCGGCAGACCACGCTGATTTATTGGAGCGCCGCCTCCCAGTGCTGGATATTTATCTCCATCTAATTAATCAGAGCAGAGGTAGAGGAATATAGTGTGAGAGGGAGAGAGGGAGGAGGCAAGGAGAGAGAGGGGAAAGAGGTAGAGGGAGAGAGAGAGAGAGAGAGAGAGAGAGAGAGAGAGAGAGAGAGAGAGAGAGAGAGAGAGAGAGAGAGAGAGAGAGAGAGAGAGAGAGAGAGAGAGAGAGAGAGAGAGAGAGAGAGAGAGAGAGAGAGAGAGAGAGAGAGAGAGAGAGAGAGAGAGAGAGAGAGAGAGAGAGAGAGAGAGAGAGAGAGAGAGAGAGAGAGAGAGAGAGAGAGAGAGGACGTGCCAGCAGCTCGCGTCGCCCTGTTGAGAAGAGACTGACTCGAGTCGCTGGGTTTGCCTACTTACAAACGAAAACTGCTGACGAGTACGCAAACAGCGCAAACACGCGGTCAGTCGTGTGATGGCACAAAGATGTAGTGGCAAGGGTCGAACTAGCATTTAGCAACACCAATTGAAGTGAAGTACGACTAAATGGATTGAAAAAAAATTCTTCGACGTGCCGTCACGACAACAAGCGATGGACCACCGGCCAGGTGTCAGCCCGTGGTGGCGACAGATCCAGTAGTTGGTACGACATTAGCTGCTGTTGATGAGCCAGCTGCTACTGCAGGGCCATCGCGGACAGATGTCCACAAACACGGACTTTGACGCCGAAACGGGTGCACAACAAGGAAGCCCTCCCTGTCACATCTTTTTTGGTCGTTATTTTTCAATCCAGGTGTTGCAGTAGCTCCCGTTTCGGCATCTGCCATGCATTCCAGGTGATACGATTGAGGGCATTAGACTAGTATTAGCTCTCCCAGTGTTAGCGCTTTAGGTGGGTATACGACTGTTTGGGGCACCGCAAAAATGTTATGATGCATCGAGGCTTGCGTGGACGGAAGGCTCATAAATGACACTTTGAAAGGGATTAATCAATTACAAAACTAATACCCTTCCGGCATGTCGACTGGACACTTAGGTAGACAATCGTTATCGTTATTCCATCTGATCATTCGGCTCCATAACCACCCACAAATCTTTGTAATCTCAATGCACTACAGAACTCATTCAGAGAAACTGCCATGCCATCCACATTCATGTTGGCAACCCACGCATTATAGAGCACTTCTTCGAACAAGGGTAGGTAATGCTATCGTTGCAGGCACTTGTATACCATTCGAGGGCTAAACCTCGCTCTCGAGAGCATACTTGTTGAGCTAAAGCTCAACTCTGTGCTTGACTTGACTTGACTGGGTTCGGTTGTTCCCACTCGCCCGGGCTGGGATCTCAGTGATGCATGCTGTCCCATTTGTTAGTGTCAGACGGCGCACTTTTTACGCCCTCCAGAACAAGTTGTCCGGAAGTTTTCCGGATTGTGACAGCTAATAGATGGAGTCGTTTACGGGACTGGCACCCGAGCCTGACAACTCAGGGTCGGGTGAACGGGCCGAGGCAGGCGACAGAGGGGTCGCAGTCAGTTTCAGTTGACCAGATTTGCTGCACCTGTTTTAGCGAAACATATGCGAACTTTTGAGAAGTAACGGATAAATTTACATTTCCACCCACGTCCTACAATCATCAGCTAGTCATCAAACATGTGGACGATATTATATTAATCACAGCGTACGCACAGTGCTACGGGGAGCAAAATATGATCGAAAACAATGTTCAAATGATCGCGATCGCATCAGAGTGCGTACACGCAGTCGAAAGAGCGAGGAACCGACACGACGGCGTCTGTCTCAAACGCCGACTTATACTCGCCCGGACAGGCCTATTCCGACGGTTACCGAGTTCACCCGGCATCCCCACACCACACGGCACACGGACGTCCTCTAAGTCGTCGAGTGCGACACCCCTCAACGGCAGCGACAGCTGCTGTCGCGAAATCACCGTGAGATAGGCCAAGAACCCGTGACGCGGTCCCCTACGCCCGTCCCTGAGGCTGAAAGACACTGCAGTCGGTTGCATGACGTCTCAATTCGGGAGCCGTGGCGGCAGGTGCAAATTGCGATACCTATCAGCAGTTCTTACCTACAGGTATTGCCGGGCCGGCGATTTTTGTGCCGTCCGCCGGGCTTTAGTAACGAGCTCGGTGACATATGCGCTGTCAGATCTCAGGCTTTGAGCGGGCAGTGCCGACAACACATTACCTCATCAAAGGATGGACAACTTACTCATCGCAGAGACAAGACAAATGGCCACAGCCACACTTCTGACAGAGTCACATTATACGGTGCAATTTTATACTGCAGAATTCAATAGCGAGTGCAAATTGTGATGGTTATCTCTATTTCATTTAATCATCTGGTTGAGATTTTTAGTTCGTTTCTTCATTAGTCAACAGTGTTATGTATCGTGCCAGTTGACTTATGTGCTGTCGAATTGCGTTGTCAAACGCGGTTTATGAAGCTGACGCGTCACGGTAAAAATGCATCGATCGGCCGAGCTGGAAAACATTGAAGCTTTTGGTATCTGGAAAGGTAGTGGGGCGAGGCAGGGACATTCGCATGGTGACAGAACTAATGTATCAACCTTGTAAACCTGCAAAACCGTTCTGAACCACAGCGGAACAATTCAAACGCATAATAGTGTGTTTATATTCATTGCAATTTTAAACTTACGCTAGGCACTAAAACCAAGCATGGGCAGTTACGAATTCATATCACAAATAAACGCTTTGTTTATATAAGTAGTTAATACCACATAAACAGGTAGTTTATTGATTTTATTGACGTGTTTTACAAAGAGAAGTAATATGCCATGTGCCGGCCAACACGTTCACAATAAGTGCATAAATGAAATAAATACAAATAAATAACACAATAGACGAATCGATGTTGATTAGTATTGTCATTTCACTCCATTATTTGGAATGCCCTTTGGCTTGCAAAGCAGTCTGGGGCCACCATCAAAGTAACAATAGGACAAACAGAACGTAACACAAAATACATAAGCCACCAGAGAGATCGGAAATCATAACAGCCATGGAGAATAACTGGCCAGTTGACATTGCACGATGAACAATGCACATATAATGACCCACAACACAATACTGAGCTCATTGCGGACGGAATCCGTAGTCACAGATCACCAATGCAAAAGTAGGCGTGTTTATAATAAAGGATGTTATTACAGGGACGTGTGCGTATGTGGAAGAGAAAGGGGCGGGGGGGGGGGTTGCAGGGTGAATACCACACGATACCGTATGGCGTGAACAGTCATCCCAGTGACTAGTTTCAACACACACGGAAAACGTGACACATTAGGACGGCATTGGGTTCTTCGTCTGGATTTCCATCCGCAGCCGGTGCCAGCACGATAGTCAAATGATACCCCCAAGTTTCATGACAATCGTCGACTTAAACTTACTACTTCGTTTTGAAATAGAATGACTGATCTACATAGAACCCTCTGAATATGTTCGCGTTAAACACTCCCGACCAAAGCTTTTTCACAATCAAATTAGGGCCTTGATCAAATTGAATGACTAAAGCTTTGCCTGCGTTTTTTCTGCATGAGATCATGCACGTGACTTATGTGTGGACCAGCACAGTATCGCTTCACAAGTCCTCACCAACCAACCCCGTTTCCGCTCTCACCTTCCCAATGACATCTCGATGACGTCCATCAGCCCCAGAAATCATCATCACTTTCATCGCCTCCCAGGTCGGCGCTGAGGTGGTACGAATCAGATCCCGAGTCGAGACGTATCTTCATGGGCTTATCCTTGGCGGCAGCGGGAGCGAGGGCTGCGGCGGCGGGGGCAGGGGTACGAGCGGGAGCGGTCTCGTCACTCGATGAGGTGTCGACCGTCCGTCTGACGGTTGGGACCGGGGCGGCGGCGGTGCTTCCGTGGGAGCTCTGACGACTAGCGGCGGCCGGCCGGTCTGCCGTTGAGGGTGCCCCTGTGGAGGAGGTGGTGTGCTGTCAGGACCACTGCTAATACGATGATGGACTATAGATCCATTCGACGAAGGAACATAGGGGACAGAACAGAAAAAGCAGCTCCTACAAGAAAAACAAGGGGTGAAAATGTCCGGTCAATCAAAGGACCATAAGTCACCAAACGTTCCTTGTAAAGCACTCCATTCTCTCCCAAAGCACTCCAGCTGCGTCCCTTGTTTAGCCCGTTTCACTAACTTACCGGAATATTTCGTGTCAGATGCCACGTCCCCTGTCGGTTTGCCTCTGCCGCCCTCTGGCCGTTCACCGTCCGACTCCCCAGACGAGTGGCCGCCGCCCAACAGCCAATCCATATTCTTCTTTTTCTTCGCATTCTGAAAAGCAACAAATAGGGTGTCTAATCACTTTCAACTAAGACATAAGTCGATCGTTGAACAGCACATTCAGAAAAGGTTCATATCTAATGTTGTTCAAAATGAAAACGAAGCATACACATGGCACAACACCATCAAAAAAGAAATTAAGCACACACATTTAAATCTGTTCTCCTGCCCCAGATCACTAGAGCCCTGTACGTAACATTCTCGCATTATCCTCGAAAGTCACACATTGGCTAATGGCTAGGCCTCACCTGTTTGCCATTATTGGCTCCACTCTGCATTTGCGGTGCAGCGGCCACAGCGGACCGACCGTTCCAAGACACACCTGAAGAAGAAAAAATATGTTCAAACTTGAAAAAAACACAATTTCGAACACACATAAACATCGTCATCAAATACACATCCAATGCATAATCAGTGAAATGACAAGACCATAAAATGCCATTCCATGGTTACTGTAAGCCATATCGTCACCTCTCTCGTTTCTCACCGTGTGAACTGGCATTTGAGGTGACTGACGCCTTTCTCGTCGCAGTCGAGTGTTCAGCGGCCGCCCGAGCCTCCTCCCGCATCCTATCAGCTTCTTCCCGTCTCCTCTGTTCTTCCACCTGCCTCCTCTGATCCTCCTTCTTCCTCTCTTCTTGTCTTCTTTCTTCCTCTTCTCGCCTCCTCTCTTCTTCTGCCCTCCTCATCTCATCTTCTCGCCTTCTTTCTTCCTCCTTCCTCCTCTCTTCCTCCCTCATCCCCTCTTCCTCAGCTCGCCTCTTCTCTTCCCACCTTCTCCTCTCCTCCTCCTCCTCCTCTTCTCGCCTTCTGAGCGACTCCCGCCTCCTAATCTCACGCTCCTCAGCCTGCCTCTCCGCTCTCTCAGTGTCCTCTCCCATCTCTCTCAATCGCTCTCCCTCGCCCCCGCCGCTTGGATCTCGCTCGAATCTCGCTCCGTCCTCTTCATACCTTCTCGTCTGACCTGCCTCGTGCATAGCCTGGTGAGCCGGGCAGCGAGGCTTGGCATCTGGAGGTTCGAGATAGTCCGAACGACCAGCGAAACTGGAACGATCCCCGTGGCTGGATCTTCCGCCGATGTTATTATGGTCACGGTGGTGGCTGATATGATAACGTTCGTTGTCTGAGGAGTCCGCAAAGCGCACGTTAGTCTCTCGGGGCATCTGGTGGGTTCCCTGGTCTCCGAGGTACGAACCGTGGTCCCCAGTGTAGTGTTCCTGTCCCCTGTACTGGGGGCCACCGTCGCTGGTACGAGGGTCGGGTCCAGACTCCCAGCGTCGGTGGCCAATCGTGGAGGACTCCGGGTCCAGCCAGGAGCCGGTTCTAAGGCGAGGTAGCGGCGCGTGATGGGTATCCTGGAACAGAAAACAGAAAAGCGGTCATATTCAATGCAGTAGCAAAATTTCACTTTTTCAATCATCGAGCTATTATTTGAATTTAATCATGAATTACCTTCAAATCTTGTTTCAAAATCAACATGATCTTTTGCATTATTGGTCACTGACGAATTTCAACGGATAAAGGCAATGACAAATTGTGAGCCCTTTCCCTTGGCTCAAAATTACACTCATCCTTCGCACATAAGCCACCATCCCACAAAGTTCGGTTTCCAGTCAGTTCAGTCCTGACTCGAAGCAGCACGGTACCAAAAACCCGGCATGATAAATTCCTCACTATTATTCTCCGATATCCCTGAACCCTTGTCTCTAGTCTCTACCCACCTCCGCGTCCCTCGCCGCTGCCGTCTCCGTCGCCGCCGCGGTGGCGGCCAGCAGCTGCCGCTGTCGGGCCAGCGCGCTGTCCAGCTGCTGCAGCTGCTCGTCGGCAGCTGTCGGCCGCTCCAGCGTGCCCCAGCGGCTGGCCACGCCGTCCAGGGTGCCGTCCCAGGCCAGCGGCGCCGCCCGACGTCGGCCCGGCGCAGAGACCGAGTACTCGGACACAGAGCGGTCCTGCATGGGCGCTGAGCTCCGCTCCCCCGGGCCGGACCGGTCCCACTCCGAGCGTTCCCAGTCGGACGGGTCCCTGGGACCAGGACCGGGACCACGCGCGTCGCGGTCCCACTCCGTTTCTCTCCCTCGCTCCCAGGTCTGTCCTCCGACAGCTCCGTAGTTTACGCCGCGGTCGCCAGGCGGCGCTGGTGGCTCGCTGCGGACGGTGGCAGAAGTGGCGATCCTCGAGCGTAGAAGAGCTGCTCGGCTTTCCGTGGAGCGACCCAGCTCGTCCCGGCCCAGCTGTTGCGAGGACGGACCCCACGGGTCGGCGGCGCCCTGCCACCCACGAGCCGCCAGCCTGGTGGGAGAACGGGACGTGAGGCGAGGAACATGACAGAAATGAAGCGACAGACATTAGGATGACCTACGGCCAACAATTTTCAACAGCGGGCAACGGCATTGCCAGTGTATCCTGGTAACTGAATTCTGTGTCCTCATTTCACGACAATGTATGGTAAGTTAGAACTTATGGCATGCTTCTGTCTACAAATATCATCAAGTTCATAAACAACCACTAACCACGAGAGTTCTCGGTAAAAGGTGGTCAAGATCAGTCAAGCGAATGAAAATAAGCAGTAAAGAAAGCACTTGCAATGCCTTACCGGGGGTCGTAATAGCCTTCCACAAGATGTGATAAGTCGGCCGTCGGATCTCCACTGGCCGCCTTCAGCGCTGAAACATGAACGAGCTGTGAGTTGGAAAGTAAAGCAATCAGCGACCAAGCACTATGATTCATCAGTGCACTAAACACAGAAGGAACGGATATTTTCGATAGGTACCGAGAAGAGCATTACAACACGAACCGCAAAATAAAGTCAGAATCGTTTAACTACGTTTATGTAGAGTGTCATTTGCCAAAAATGCAGCCAAAAATCACAGAAAGCACACAACACTACGAATTCGGATTCGATTGCATTTATTTCATTAGCTTTGGAAAGCACCAGCTGATCACACAAATGCAATACAGTTGAAGCAAAATATATCGTTCGCCCGGGCCAGTAGAAGACGCTACCCTGACATTTGCTCACCGGTTTGACGATGGTGTTCTGCCTCCCCCACAGAGGTTACTGATTGGCTGTGACGTAGCGCTGCCGCCGGTTCGGCGAGCTGTGATTGGCTGGATGGGTCATCATCAGGCAGATGTGTGGCTAGAACCTCGTACTGGCGCTACGAGTCGACAAACAACGAGGAGGTCGTCAGTCGTCACACAAAATTGGACTTATGTGGAACTAGAGAAAGCAGCATCAACAACTGTATTGACATAGCGAGTGATACTGGTAGCTGAACGACAATGCCCCCCCCCAAAAAAAAACAGATAAAATTGAACATTAGTCAGATTAATTACAAAACCGCCAAAAACCGCGACCCATCCCATCAGTCTCGCACAACACGGCAGTCACTCTCGCATTACCATACCCCGACCAGCGAGACATTCATTCATGGACTGTCACTCAATTCCTCTTACAATACAGCTGTCCTCGGCTCAAAACCCAGCAGGTATACTTGCCCCGCACAGCGGATCAGGCCCGTGTCCAACCTTTATGAGCCGGAGTCTGTCGGTGAGCTGACGCAGCGAGGAGGCCCGTTCGGCCAGCCGCTCCACGCTGCCGATGAGGCGCACATTGCGTAACTTGCGTCGCAGCGCATCCTCCTGTAGACGCTGCTGGAGCTGCTGCGCGCGCCGGCGCCGCTCCTCCTCCGTCGTACTGTCGGAGAGAACGGACGGGAAAAAGTGGTGTTAAATGACAAAAATGATTGCATTGGTTCACCTGTTCGTCTCCCTCAGCCTTAACCTGGTTAAAAAGCTTAAAGCTATATCAAATTACACAAAACACCACAAATTAAGCATTACACTTTAGCTTGCTGCTAGTCAACAACCATTTCCCCACTCATGTCTTTAGCCAGAAGATGTCCCCAGTCCCTGAAGCTGAGCTCATCCCCCAAATGCACTGAGAGCTAAATCTAACCAGCACATTGGCCTTTTCCCATGTGTAATGCTAGCTAGTAGTTACCTTTGCTGTATGATTTTAAGCTCATCTGCTATGCTCAGCATAGTTTCTACTGCTGCATCACATTTGTCCAAGCTGAAAGGAAGCTCCTCTTGGCTTGAAGTGACAGAGGTAGCCGTGGGTACTTATCCTTGCATGCCAGTTATGGTTGACTCCATTTGTGTTGGCTGCCAGTATATCACAGTCAGTACATATATTCATACAAATCAGTCCAGAAATATTTCACAAATTGAAATATCAGCAAGTCAAAGTCAAAGTCAAAGTAAACAGTTCTCGTTCACATTGATGAATGCTCCAAAGAATGAAAGGTAGCTTGTGTGTCCGAAAAATTAAGCCTCACATAAAAAACAAGTGAGAAAAATTACAATTGACCGAAAGTTCAGTCAGCACCATGGGCCTTGACCACAGCGCGCAGTGCGCACTGCGCACATACCACTCCATCAAACCACAACATAATTTGAATTGGAATGCATTGACACTTCACTACAATTTTCAATTCACCAAAAGGTCAAAAGCGACTGTTCATTCATTATTGATGGCCGAAGGTCGGCTTCAACTTTCTATGGCAACCTGCTAATAAGGGAATTTTTTTCTTAGTTAGCAGCAAGTTGCCTAGCAACGAGTCGGCTGCCTCCAGCTCTGTACATAAATCACCGCTACACTGCGTTGTATTTCGTATCTCTTGCGCCATTTTCGCTATTTACTGAATTTCGTACAATTTGCGAATTGACGACGTTTCTTAGGTATCTTGTTGACGACTCTCAATTGCAAATGATTTGATTGAGAAGCGATTGAAGATTATTCAGTTTCTTTCTGCCTTTCTGCGGTGTACGTTGGAACGACCTTCACTAGTCTGCGCCCAGTCTGTTTGCGCACTGTGAGTTTTCTTTTGCATTATTGTTATTGACGCCAATTGACGCTTTCTTTTGCATTATTGACTTGACGCACGTCATGATTTGGAATTTGGATATCAATTCGACCCCTGTTCTCAACAGTGAGATGACAAAATTTTGTTCTTTTCTTCACAACATAATTTTACTGGACCAAGAGTGTAACAGATAAGCCTTACAGCTTTGGCTTTCATTATTTCATAGGGACGATGGTGAAAACAGGGCACCAGGGGCGATTGGATCAAGGCTCGTGAAATTCACACGTGACAGTTAGCATGTAGAAGGCCCACAGGGGGAGAAGTTCCGATTGTTACGTGACCCAATATGCCCTCCGGAGTCCGGCGCCCTGTTTTCACCGGCGTCCTTTCATCTTTCATAGGACAGCACTGTGAGTTGTGGTTGTAGGAAGCAAAGGCTGAGGAGCTTTGTATAAACTTTGGGGAGCACTGTCCCTGCTATCTGCATCAAACACCACTTTTCAATTTTCCGTATCTATTGAACACCTGTGGTGTTTTAACACTGCTATAGTTTGACACAGCTTTAGTTATTGCTGGAACTCTTAAAGAAAAAACTTCTTGGATTTCACTTCAGCTTTCATATGTGCAGGCTGTAGCTAAAAAAATTAACTGTATTTTTTTCAGATTAAATTTGTAGTTTTCTTTATTTTTCGTTGTGAGGGGTACAGACCAAGTACAATTAGTTTTGGACTTCTTGCAAAGAGGAAAATAGATCCAGACATTCTAAACTTCCGACTGATTGGTCATCACTGACACCTCACAGTTGACAGTGATTGTGATGGCCTGAGTCATGACATGTGAATTGTAAGGTTGGTGAGAGTAGTCATTGCCTTTTCAAATGAGGATGTCAGATGTGGGACAGATAGTCTAAAATTATGTGGGCCAACTTCAATTGTGCTCTAAAATATCCACTCAATCTCAGCCTGCAGCAGCTCCTAATGATGATCAAGATCAGAACCTGCATGACATGCTATTCTAAAGTTGTGCTGATTGCTCTTGCTTTGCTATTTGTAAGGGTAAGCAAGATTGTTGACTGATTAAAGTGGAAACTAGAAATACACATTTACCTACATTCCATTTTACCTATATGATGTAACTTTGTAAATTAGATAAATTAGTCTGTCTTTGTAAAGTTAATGGTGTAATTGTTAGAAGTTAGCAGTTAGTTATTTGACTTATGTGAAACATACACATACACGATGATAAATGATGATAGGTATGCAACTTACAAGCACACCAAAAGTGTATTTTGCAAGATTTACTATGACTTTGACAGATAATGGACATGCATATGACCTCTTATTGTGTAGTCATCAATAGCCAGAATTCCAGGGGCGGTTCTCCCATATAGGCAAGGTAGGCAGTGCCTACGTCAATTGCCGTCTCCCCTGCGTCTAAATCATCACTACATATATCGTGGCTTATGTTTGCTTGATTGCTTTTGTTAAAAAAATTTTTGTTTCTCGTTTTTCAAAATGCGTTGAAACGAAAGAGAATTTCCTAAACTTTTCAAAAAACGTCACCCAAAGATCGTACTATAAGAACCTTGACGAAAACCTTTGCCTAAGTTGTGCCTACCTCGTCAGTCGTCCTACTAGATTATCGACTATTGCCATGCTGAGGCTATTGAGCCTTTTGGTAGAAAAGGTCTAGATGGTCGGCACATCGACTAGGTGCTACCTTCTAACTCTCAAACCTAACTTTTTAAAATGTCCATTTATCGTAAAATAAAGGACATTTTACTTTATCAATTTTATCATAAGTTCAGCGTACGTAGCGTTGTTATGCTTGTTGCGTTATTCTATTGTTACTTAAAAATTATATTGAACGAACTAGACTCCTACTGAGAGACTAGTTTGCCTCTGGCGGCAGACGTGTAAGCTCTAGTTAAGTTGATGGTTTTTGTAGATGACGCTGCTGTCGCTGCTTGACGCATCCCGACTAAGCAATAAGGCTGTCTTCCCCCCTCTCCTTTACCTATTCCGCATTCAGATTTTCTGCCTTACCTACCAAGTGCCTACCTACTTTCAATAGGTCAGCGCCGCCCCTGCAGAATTCAACTACATGCAACTACAACTACATGCATAACTGTAGGGTATTTTATTGCTTTACATGCAACCTGCTTGATTAATGTTTTATTTCAATTAAATGGCATGCCAAAAATGTAGAAAAAAAAACACCCTGAGACTTGAGCCCCTGATGCTGGCAAGTACAGCTAAGTTATATCTGCCAAAAGATTACTTACTGTTTGTATATACATCAGCCATAACACCCTGATATTTGTAGCTTGACCTTGCTATGATGGGCTAGTTATATTGGCTGGTGAATGGTGATTTATAAGAGCTGAATAACGCACCTAGTTAAGTATGCTCGCATTGTTTTGTGTGTAATGCTTGGAAATATCAATGCAAAACTGTTTCATAGCACTGTATATTTGCTACCTACTACCTATTTCCTATAAAAAGCAAGTAAGAAAAAGTGCAAAAGCTGTCATCTTCTGGTCTGCCACACGTTCCTCCACAGAAGTAATCAGCTGCCGTTTTCAGCGGTGTGGCAAGTTTCAGCAGCGTTCGCGCGTCGTTTCAGCGTCGCCGCCATGGCCGCCATGTGCCCGGACGACCCGTGCTCGTTCTCCAACCCGCACGAGGCGGCCGTCACCTCGGTCCACCTGCGTCTGACGGTGGACTTTGAGGCGCGCCGGCTGCATGGTGCTGCCGAACTGCAGGTGGAGCGGCGTGTGCCGGCGGCTGCCGTCCTGCTGCTGGACACCCGCGGGCTGGAGGTGACTGGAGTGTGCCGACTGGAGGACGGCGCGCCGCTCCAGTGGAAGCTGGAGTCGGAGCACGAGCACACGGCGTACGGCACGCCGCTGCGTGTCTCCCTGCCGCCGGAGGACGGCCAGCCGCTGACTGTGACCGTCGAGTACAGCACGCGGCCCGAGTCGACCGCGCTGGCCTGGCTGGAGCCGGAGCAGACGGCCGGACGGCGGCGGCCGTACGTGTACTCGCACTGCGAGGCTATCCACTGCCGCTCCATGGCGCCGCTGCAGGACACGCCGGCCGTGAAGACGCCGTACACGGCTGAGCTGACAGTGCCGGCTGAGCTGACGGCGCTCATGTCCGGCCTCCGCGAGGGCCGAGAGGAGGCGGACGGCGTGGCGCGGTGTCGGTTCCGCCAGCCAGTGCCCGTGCCGGCCTACCTGATCGCTCTGGCTGTCGGCGACCTCGAGTCGCGCCCACTCGGACCGCGCTGCTCGGTCTGGTCCGAGCCCGGTGTGGTCGACCGTGCAGCGCACGAGTTTGTCGACACAGAGAAAATGCTGGAGGCTGCCGAGGCACTCTGCGGCCCGTACATCTGGGGTGTGTATGACCTGCTCGTGCTGCCGCCGAGTTTCCCGTTCGGTGGCACGGAGAACCCGTGTCTGACGTTCATCACACCGACGGTGATCGCCGGGGACCGCTCGCTGGTGGATGTTGTGGCGCACGAGATCTCCCACAGCTGGACCGGCAACCTGGTCACCAACCGCAGCTGGGAGCACTTCTGGCTCAACGAGGGCTTCACCATGTTCCTCGAGAGAAAGATATTGGCGCGGCTGCACGGTGAGCCTGCCAGACACTTCTCGGCAGCTGGAGGATGGAAGAGCCTCCGTGAGACGATTCGTACGCGCGGTGCCGATGATCCTCTCACCTGCCTGTCGCCAAAGCTGGCGGGGGTAGACCCCGATGATGCCTTCTCGACGGTTCCCTACGAGAAAGGTCACGCATTCCTTTGGTATCTGGAACAGCTGGCTGGCGGGCCGACGGTCTTCGATCCGTTCCTGCGTGCATACGTGGAGAAGTTCCGACTGAAATCAATCGACAGCGCCGACTTCCGCAAGTTTCTGGAAGAGTACTTTGCTCCGACGCCTGGTCTATTCGACAAGGTGGACTGGGAGGCTTGGCTGCACACGCCAGGCATGCCGCCAGTGGAGCCGAAGTTCGACTCTCAACTGGCGGACGTGTGTTCGGCTCTGTCTTCCCGCTGGCTGGCCTGGAATTCTGACGAGCCGTGCCCGTTCTCGGCCGATGACCTGACCCCGCTGACCTCAGGTCAGGTGATCGAGCTACTGGCCCAGCTCCTAGAAGCGCCGCCGCTGCCGGTGAACAAGCTGGAAAAGATGCAGGAGCTGTATGATCTGGACGCGCGTGCCAACAGTGAGATCCGATTCCGCTGGTTACGTCTCGGCCTGGCTGCCCGGTGGGAGAGGCAGCTGCAGCCAGCACTGGAGTTCGTGACCTCCCAGGGAAGGATGAAGTTCGTCAGGCCGATCTACCGTGACTTGTACGCCTGGGAAGAGGCTCGACCGAAGGCGATTGCCACATTCGAGAGAAATAAGCCCAATATGATGCACGTGGCTGTGTACACAGTCGGCAAAGATCTGCATCTTAGCGAGTGATGCGGAGTGGTGAAGTGAGACGGACTTTGCTTGAATGGGGGTCTTCATTGGAAGTAGTTCGTAGTGTCTGTGATGTTTTCTTCTGTCTAGGCCTTTGATTCCGTGCTCGTGTTTGCTTTCATCTCCGCATAATTGAAAGGCCTTGTGATAATCTTACGGACCGTTCAACGCTATTGCTGATACTATTGCGAGCGCTTATTGAATGATTTTAAAGCGGTGTTAAATCGACCCAATAGCCAGACGATAGCGTAAAATTGAATTCAGTTACAAACGTTCTTCATTGAAACCCTCGATAACTCTGAAATGCAATCAGTGGTATAACTCTTGCTGACTTTCAGTGAGCATCGCAAGTTGTTACTTCGCATGTTTTGTATCTTTTTTGGACTTAGCTAGTTTGTAGCTGGCTGGTGAATGTTGTTTTGTATGTTTGGTGTTTGGTCAAAAATAAAGGAGGTACTTTACCTAACTCTGGCTTATAAGTTATAACCTTGGTTTGGGTATCTGAATGTTGCATAGACCGCCTCGACAGAAAAGCACTAACTAGTAACTATACATATATTTTTTTCTCAAAACATTTGTGACAACTGCTAACTAGGCAGTTAATGTTACACGACACGACCGTCTAACCTAACTCGACGACCATCTCTGCTTCGGGTATAAACTTTTTCGATGTGCTGTGACCTAAATCAGTGAAACCCTTTTTTTTCAAAATAAACTATGATAACAATGCGTCGACCTTGTTACATAAGATGCCGACATAAGATGCTCATCACTTTGAACCTTTTTGGTCTAGCTGACCTCCATGACCCCATGCCACGATGCTGGGCCTCCGTAGCCACTCGGTTGACCCCTCTTGACCCAACCGACCTCTCCTGACCCCAGGTCACGATGCTGGGTCTCCGATGCCGTTCGGGTCGTCATCTGAGGCGTCAGCTGACTGTCCTACGCCGTCAGCTGGCCTCGGGAGCAAATCACGATAATGAGAGCCCTTCACAGCGAGAGCGAAGGTGCGTCCGAGAGAGAGAGGGCCTGTGTTGGAGGGAGAGTGTGTGTGTGTGTGTTAAAGGGAGAGGGTGTGTATTCAGGTGAACGAGTTATCAGAGGAGAGGAACAAAAGTGCGCGTGTAGAAGACAGCAACTAGATGCTAGAAACGATATAACTATTATCCGGGATAGCTTTTTTACTGCCGTACATAGTCGGCCTGTGCCCCACCTGAAGCATAATTCATCGCTCGGCTAGAGTCGAATTTACTACCGTGCAGTGAGCTAACTTGATCAGGTACGCTGACCGTCCCACACCTTCACGGCAGGATTATGGATGAGGAGGAGAAGCGGCACAGCCTCGAGTTCTATAGCGTCTTCGAGCTGCTGAAGCCCAAGCAGGCCTCGACGGTGGAGCTGCTGCAGCGGTTCAACACTATGAAATTCAGCAAGGAGGCCGTCGTGGAGTTTCTGGAAGACAAGGTTAAAGAGAACAGGGTACTCCAACAGAGGTGAGCTGCCTGCCAGAGGATGCTGCACGCCGCGCGTGGTACTGTTTGTTTTACGAGCTTTGAATCGAAATTAAGGCATGTTAACCAATCGTGGTTAAATTGCAATTATAAAATGTAATTGAAACGTCGGATCGTGTTATGTTAATTTTTAGCCAGGCATTGTTCATTTTCTCGTTTTACTTTTTCCTCCTTTGCGACATAAAACTATTGACTTACTTTTACTTCAAGGATTGACTCTGAATGCCATTTTCCCCGCCCAGGTTCATTGAGGAACGCCATCAGATCCTGGGCTTTGACCTGGCGGCTGCCCACTTCATCATCGCCCGAGGCGGCAGGGTCAGACTACAGGTGAGGTCACTGACAGTGAATATCTTAACAGTTAATAGAAACAGGTCTACGACGGTCTGCTCGATTATTGATCTGGTGGTGGCTTTTATCCGGTTATGTGTAAGATTGAAATTGTTTCAATGCAGCCTTGTGAATGTCGATCGTCAATGTCGATGTCCGGCTTCATGCTCCCTTGCATTTTGCAAGCGGTATGTACTGTCACTAGCGCTATTTGAACGCCAACCAGTTACGTTCCAGTATGGTTCCAGCAATGCTCGCTTTCATCTATGTTGTCGCTAACCGCCGTTACCCTTTCCCTTCCTCCGCCAGGGAGACCCGCGCTGGGTGACCCGCTCCCCCGAGGGCAGCGTGCCCCTGCCGGGCAGGTACACACACGGCATGTATGTGGAAGAGCTGGACGCCAGTGGTACTGAGATCGTCTACGAGGGACTCGAGAACTTCAGTGAGTGGACGTTGGATATGTCGATGGGTTGCGTGGTCAAAGATTGGGTTCTGAAACTCCTCAGTGGGTGGGACCATGTGGGACATTTGGATAATTTAGAGACTAAATGACGTTTAGATCCTGTCTGAGGCTAGTGTAAAATGTGATGATTTTATGCTGGAAGGCTGGTATTATTTGTATGCCGAAAAAAAAAAACGTTTACCAAAAAGTCGCAAATCGTATTAAGCGGTGACGCATTATAAAGCTCAACAGCCATGTTATGTGACCATCCTCCGCATCTTAACTGGATTTGCCCTTGGATTTAAAGGCATTTAATTAGTCCTGTGTGTTGTCATTGACACCCTTCAGCCTTCTTATCTGAGATACTTGATCTCTCTGACCCTCCCGCACTGCCCTCACAGTTCGCCTATCGAAGCTGCGCGCGCTGTACCTGCGCGATTGCCCCTTTGTGGACGACTGGTGCGTGGACCGCGTCTGTGGCGAGTACCGACACACGCTGCAGCATCTGGACCTCAGCGGGTGTCGGCGCGTCACAGAGACCGGCCTCGAGGGCGTGGCGCAGCTCAAGTGAGTCGGCGGGGGCGGGCTAGACGGGAGAGGCGGGGCGAGTTATGTGAGTGTCGGCACCGCTACGTGGAGTGAATATGAGTCGTATTGGTGTCATTGGACATACTAATCAAAATTATTTTAACTATTGTTAAGCGTATGCACTGATTGCACATAAACACATATTTTACACATGTTATACAGCAAATAAAATGAGTGTTAGGTTTTTGCGACGAATTGCCCTTTGTTTTTGCATCACGTACGCGCTTATCAGCTGTGACTTAGCGCGTAGTAATGTTTCTCCTATCGAGTAACCGGATTGTCATTGTTTGCCTGAGGTTGATCACTTTCCACTTCATACGACTGTACCGGTCGACTCACCCGTTAGAGATAATGCACTTGCACTCTTACCACAAAATGGTCTGTCCTTCGCTTCACTCCGCGCGCTGCTGACCACTTACCACGTCCCGGTCCTCTCGATGCAGGGAGCTGAAGACATTGACGCTGGAGCGCATGGACCACATCCGTATCCTGCCTTACATCTGTCTCCTGCTGGAGGACGCCATACCCGGCCTGGAGATCCGAGGCGTGGACGTGCTGCAGCCTCCGCCGGACGACCTGCTGGCCGCCGCCGAGAGCCAATCGCAGCTCAAAGCGCCCGGAGGCGACCAATCAGAAACGGAGACACAGGCTCCGGCCGCTACTCAGAGCCAGTCAAGTGATGCCACACAGTCCGGGTCGGCGTCTGACGGCCAATCAAAACCGGGGTCCACAGCGACGTAGTTTAACAGCCCGAGGGTCTGACATTTTGATGGTATGTGATGTTGTATTCACGAGTCAAGAAAAATGACGTACTGTAATGACTGAACCAAAACGGTGACCCACTCGAAGGTCGCCTTGTGAACAATATGTCGCTACCCACGGGTAATTTGCAGTCTCTATTGGCTCACCAGGACGGAGGATATGACGTTTTCCGTCATTATGTGGCTCTCGATCGCCTTTAAGTTGTTCTGTTGTGTCTGAGTGGGGCCGATCACGAATGACCCAAGTGATCACCAATGATCGGTCGAGACTCGGCGAGTGTCATAGTGTGGCTGCTAGGTTTTGTACTGGCGACGATTCGATGCACTTTTGTGAGTCGTATCGGATTGTTGTTTCTAGTTGTCTCGTCAAATTTACAAGCCCGTAGACCTTGTTCGTGCACAGATGTATGCATTACGCGTAGTTGCAAGTCTGTTGGAAATTGTTCTTGCACGGCGACTCTCCGGTGACTTTATCAGCGAACTATGTCGATTAGGGAATGAGGCTTGTTTTGAGTCCAGGAGACAGGAGAGCGCTTGTTGGCCTCATTAGCTTGCTCTGCCTGTCGGTTTTAACTTTGAAATACCAATATGTTTTGTTATTTTGCTGGATGTTTGAACGGAAAAGGAAACACTTAGAAGATAAATGACCCTACGCAAAGATCCTACGCGGCGTCACGTAGAATCGCCTCCCTGCCACATCAGATGGTACTTCGACCTTGGACGACGGATTCTTCGAATCATCACGTAGAGGCTTTCGCTCTGCCGTCCCGAATGCTCTGAATCCGGCCTAAGCAATGTCAGCCAGTCAGAAGACGATCTGAGTGACGGTTTACGGTAGCACCCTGGGTACCCCCTCCCCCCCAAAAAAAACAGCGCTGACACGTGTATAAGCTCGGGTGGGCATTCAATCACTCTACACAAATGACAAAAGGTATTGCACAAACGAAAAGGTTTCGCCACATTAGCCTGGGATTCATTGATATGAGGCTGCGTTGCAAAGAAATTTGAATGTTCGTGTTCGTGTGGAGCTAAAAACTTGCTACTCTAAAGGCCACATCATTTTGTACAAGGCTTTATATTTTGCATTGCCTGTAAAGTTTTAAAATAGGCTAATGACGTCATCAATGCCTTATTTCACAAATTTCCTGAATCCTGTAGTCTGTACATTATTGATTCAATTTTGAAATGTCAAAACAAGTCAATAATTATTGAATCAGTTGTTTCAAAAACAACACTTGCACACTTTTTCAATTCACACGTAAATATTTTCAGAAAAACGGCGTTAACGTTAATTTCTTCTACGTCATTTACTAGTATCAGCTGCTGTTATTGGAAGTTGTCAATAAGCCAGTTGACACAAAAATGGGACACGCCTAAGAGCTGGACTTTTTGATGACGTCTTCGGGTGACGTCATGTCGTGTGTGACGTTTCGTGAGCAGGTAAGGAAAAGTCACCACCGCTGGCGAACATTGGTGCGGTAAATGAGCAAACACAAATGCTGCGCAGAAAAGACAAATGTGTAACTTAAGACAACATTCGTTCGGACGACAATAACCCGGTTTACATAGGGTTTGTTGCAAGCTTATATCTCCGTCCGTGATGTTGCAAAAGATGCCAATGGTGCTTAACAATTTACAAAATGATCCCCTCTAAATATTTGTAGACCACTGCATCGAAATTATCGCCAAATTAACGAGCTAGAGCCTCGTCAAATATGCTATGTAAACCGGGTTAATGTCAAGGCGAATCAAGAAGTTCTTCATGCGATTGTTAGTTATCTGTCGTGCTATTTTCGTATGATTGTTATTAGCAGTTGATTTGTGAAATGTATTATCAAAATCAATGTTTATTGAACGCAGATTCAGTTTATTTTCAGATGTACCTAGGTACCCTTACACTTCACTCATCTCAAGCTGTTCAAACACCCTTGACAAAGCCGATTAAGATGAAACGTTGGGTATAATTTATACCTCTGCATTATTAACATATTCATCATATATACAATATAAGGGCCACATGCTTTTTACAGGGAGACATGTCAGACAGCCCAGTAGGATGAGGCTTCGTCAAGCGTCATTTTTAGCAAAGCTTTTCTTGCTTAAAATCCAGTCTGCAAAACATGGCAGGGCTTACACATTGGCTTACACTTGACTCCCAGGCTGTTGTGTCTTTGCTATGCGATGTTAAACATATAAAACATCTTACTATTCATGTATGCGCCATGACTCATGTAATCTTTTCACAGCCAAGACGCTCCTAAGGTACTGGGAATGTGGGGAGTGCAGCACCGATGGTCGGATGCTACGGCTGCGATAAATGGTACCACTTCCATTGTGCGGGACTGACTAAGGAGCCAGGTAAGCGCAAATGTTTTCTGTCTCAGTATTTTTGTTGCAGCTATAGTCATCAATGAAATATTTTCCTCACTGTTCAACCAAACATGTATTTCATACAATCTGCTTCCCAACCAAGGGCGTCGCAACAGGGGGGGGGGACGGAGGGGATCTTGTCCCCTCCACTTTTTAAAATTTTAACATTACGCCTATGGCGCTGCATGGAAAGAATCGACTTGAAATGGTCCTCGTTCCCTCCAAAATGGTCAATGTCCCCTCCAGTCGTCGCACCGTGGCGTCGCCCCTGTTCCCAACTACACAAATTTAGTCAAACAATGTGCCAATATGGAATTTTCAGGTTCAGTTGAATGAAATAGGAACAATGATAATTGTAGATTACGTATACCTGCAAGAGAGGAAAACAGAATACATTGTATTGCTTGTCCTTCACCGATGCTGTTATTTTTCCATTTCTAGAAACACCGACATGGCGATGCAGGTGGTACTGCCTGGTGAGGCCGCGGTCTCCGGAATCGCCTGCAGACGAAGTCACCTGGCGTCCATCTGCACATCACTTGAAGCAGTGAGGCCTGCTGACAGCGTCTGGCAGTGTCGGCAACGTGCCAGACAGCTATCTGGAGTCCTGCTCACCGCAGGTCGCCGACAGGAGGGGCGACGCATCGTCTCCGAGGTCGCCTCAGCAGCAGTGAGACCCCACTGGCCGTCTTCTTAGGCTTCAACTAGATTGCGAACAACCTATGCTGAGACAACGCCCATGACGTGTGATCTGGTACCGCTACCGCACTGCGTGCCTGTGCCCGCCGTGAGCCGCTAGTGCATGGGTTCAACCATGAGAATATGTGTTTATGTTGCTTTTACTATTGTTTGTACGTTGAAGTGACGAATTGTTTATTTTTCGCAAGCTTCCGCTGTCCGGTTGCCTGCAGCTCCATGCAACGCCAGCTGTACTGTTGTTTTAATGTTGTCTCTCCGCTCAGCTGCACTGTTGCCTCTCCGCTCTTAACAACCTATGCTGAGACAACGCCCATGACGTGTGATCCGGTACCGCTACCGCACTGCGTGCCTGTGCCCGCCGTGAGCCGCTAGTGCATGGGTTGGACCATGAGAATATGTGTTTATGTTGCTTTTACTATTGTTTATACGTTGAAGTGACGAATTGCTTATTTTTCGCAAGCCTCCGCTGTGCGGTTGCCTGCAGCTCCATGCAACGCCAGCTGTACTGTTGTTTTAATGTTGTCTCTCCGCTCAGCTGTACTGTTGCCTCTCCGCTCATAACAACCTATGCTGAGACAACGCCCATGACGTGTGATCCGGTACCGCTACCGCACTGCGTGCCTGTGCCCGCCGTGAGCCGCTAGTGCATGGGTTCGACCATGAGAATATGTGTTTATGTTGCTTTTTATACTATTGTTTATACGTTGAAGTGACGAATTGTTTATTTTTCGCAAGCCTCCGCTGTCCGGTTGCCTGCAGCTCCATGCAACGCCAGCTGTACTGTTGTTTTAATGTTGTCTCTCCGCTCAGCTGTACTGTTGCCTCTCCGCTCATATATGACACCCTCTATATGAATGGCACTACTGATTGTCACACCCACTGTCCGTATTGTCCGTAGTGGTGTCTACGCCCATGTTAATACAGCGTGCAGAATCCAGATTCTATTGAGGAGAGTTGAGCCAAGTCACCATAGGCTCGGGAAGAGAGCAACGTGGAGGCCCACTGCCCCTTCCCCGGCCCCCACTGGGGGCGCCAGCCACTCCAACTTTTGACTGGATGTCAAGAGCGTCGCCACGAGGGGAACGAGTCGCCGGCCAGCCAAGGTAGCCAACGGCGTGTGAAGGTTGCCTGACCTCGAGGAAACTGAGATGGCACCAACGGAGGTTTTGTTAAGTAGGCAACCAAAATTCGAGCGGCAGCAGCCTGGCCCGCCTGGGCACCTTCACAGATAGCAGTGCCGCGTATCAGGGCGCCTTCGACGTTGAGCTGGGCGCCGATCATCAGGACGCCGGGGGAATATGACCCAATATCCCCCGTAAATATGTGCCTCGGAAGGGAGACCCAACCATAAAACTGAAAGCTCGCCGTATTTTATCCACTATTTTTCGAGCAGGTCCATAGATTTCCGTCCTCAAAAGTGCGGGGATATTCCCCAGTGTTTTGAGTTGGATGGGACTATAGTGGCGTTTACACCGACAGGAGATTCCCATTGCCGGCTGTGGGAAACTACTGTCGGTGTAAACGCCATTCATATTTCCTGCGTCACCCCTGTGGGGACGCCCTTACTCCATGGTGCCGACTGCCGAGCTTATCAATTTGGATATCAATGGAATCAAAATCTCATCGATCGATGAAGAACTAAATTACCCCGACCCGGAGAGCGTCTTTGGAATCAAAGCAGTAGCACATGACGCAAGACTTCAGGCAAATAAATCCTTCTTGTCTGAAATAAAACATTTGTGTATTGATAAGCACGTTTTATAAGCAATGGTAGCAAGATTCTCCATGTATTTGATCACAGTGATAATTTAGTAGCAGATACTTACCGTCGCATTTCGGTTTTTTAATTAATAATTTATATTGTCAGAACTTACAACATGTCTCTTAACTCAACAATAATTACAAAAGTGAAAAAGAAATGATAAATTGCTTATATTTTGGTGAAACTAAAAATTAATTCAGCACATATTTTGTTTTACAGCGTTGAAGTCCAGCTCCAAAGGACAGCTGACGATCGTAGCCGAGCAGGCTGTTTGGTACTTCTTCACTACTTCTTAGAAGTACCCGTTAGTACCGATCATGTCTCACATAATAAGCTATTGGAACAAAAATATCCATGTTCTTCTAATTATTCTCATTTCACACTTTAAATAAATACTTTTGAAATGCATTTGCTAATTAATTTTACAAAAACGGCTTGAAATTTTACAACGTCAAAATACTTATTCCAATTTCCACCATGAAACCACCACTATATTACTTGCTTACAGAACCGTGCGCACAGTGCGCGCAGTTTTATCGTGACGTCAGAGGGTGCTTCCTCAGTGGCGCCCCCTGGCGGGGAACGCGTGCAAAAAGTCCAGCTCTTAGGCATGTCCCAAAAATGGCGTCGGATGGTGACGCGATGAGCGATGATACGTCTTGGTAAGAAATAAAATGTACCATTGTATTGTAAGTTACTGTTTTTATGAATGTGCATGCTTTGTTTCAGCTTTTGAAATGCTTTTTAATTTCTCAAGCCTTGTGCTGCTCACGCAGTCGTCGGGAATTAGTGCGCTGGATATGTCTCATTATTAGTATGTGCCATTCACTTGGCACAATTATTGATAAAATAATTACATTAATGCCCTGCCAATGCTAAAAAAAAATTAACATAATTTTTTAAGTGCTAAGGTTCCTAGCTTTCAATGCTCTATGACTCATTAAAAGGCCGGTAAGTCAGACTGTAGTGTTGTTTGCAACTGAGCTGAGTTGACGAAACGCACCAGCTAAGGTGGTGAATCTGCCAGTCACTCCTCCCAAAAAATCTCGGATGAGGTTGGATGAGCCTGGAGGAGAGCTGTTTCAGAGGAGCCACAGGAACATTTTTGCGAGGAAATCAGCTGTTTGCAGGCTGTAACGGTCGGCGATTTATGGTGCGCAAACAGCAATTTAGAGTCAACAATCTCTTTCTAATAAAATAACCATAGATTTATATCGAACATTACTATTAAAAGATATCCCATCCTCATCAATCACCAAAATCATTCCCACTTCCCTCAAGTCTCATTTATAAACAATTCACATTTGTATTATTGGCGCCAGATATGTCTACGCAGAACCTCCTCCAAAAATCCAACTTTCGTTTGAGATGAGGGAGGAGGCAAATAGTGGTGGTGAGATGTGGAATCAAGATGAGCTTGGAGGAGCGACGGGAACAATTTTTTTTAAACGGGAGGAGGTTGGAGGAGGTTGGAGGAGCGACGGGAACAGACCCAATGATGCACCTGCACGGAAGTTACCCAGGAGTTTGCAGCAGTGCTATAATTGTTGGGTCCACACCATTTCACACAAAATATCCATGACAACATGGTACCTAGGTTATATACCTACATATTCCATTGGGCAGCTTTAACCCATTAATGACCAAGCATATAAATACCGCGATATTTGATGTTTGGAATGGTGTTCCGATGGTTTTCGACGTCCCTGATTCCAGCTGTGACAATGGTTTTACCCTAAAAAATTTCGAACTTGGTGAAAAATTATGTTCCCATTTGGGAACATTGGGCACAAATGGGGGTAAGAGGCGTATGCATTATGCGGATAGAAACGGAGAAAGCAACAGTAGAAACACATATTAGACAACATTTTAAAGAAGGGCTTTTTCTTCTTTTTGACCTTGTCACTATCCACAATGAGATCGTGGTCTCATTTCACTGATCGACCCTTGTCAACACACATTTTTGACACACAAAGTCGTTTTATTCTACTCTTACGGTAGAGCGAGACATTTAGAACGATGAATCACAAGCCAGCGATACCAGTTTTCCATTCATCACCAAAGTGTCTCACCTGTCGAAGCGAGACATCATCTCAAGCCTGTGTCGCGCACAGTGCCCGTTGCTCGGGATTAGTCAGCAGTGTCAGAGCATCAGTGCATACTGCATATGCATCTGCAGTGCCAGCACCGTGGCGGCAGCCTAGGTGTGGTAGTTCTGGCTGCAGTGGTTATGCAGTCGTACTTGGCAGATGCTACACATTGTACGCGTTTTTTTTTGACACAGCTTGCAGCGGCCTTGAGTGGCAGCCGGGACGATGAAGTGGTTTTGTGCAGTTCGGGAGACCACCGTCACCCGGTCGCTGCTGGGTCCTGGTCCGCTGCCGGTGACGTTTGGCGGACATGGCTCTTGTCTCGGGTTTTTTAGGAGCTCCAGAGCGACCTCGCGAGTGAACACCAGCTGGTCCACACTTCTCTCGGTGCAGCTGCGGTACATGCGCCAGCTGGGTACTCTCAGTAGACCGAATGCGTTGGTGACGAGCGTGCCGTACCATTTCTTCCACCGGATCACAGGCCTGTAAGCCGCCACCGCTCCGTCCACTAGGTCTACGCCACCCATGTACTGGTTATATTCGTATATGAGGTTCGGCTGCTTGACCGTCACCTTCTTCTTTTCGTCACCCGACCAGCGCTGCACGTCTTTGAGTGGGCTGATGTCCGAGTGATTTGTGACCACTGTCACTGCCCTGTTGTCTCTCCACTTCACAGCCAGCACCCCGTTAGTGGATTGGTACCAATGCTGTCCCCTGGGCGCCTTTTCAGCAGTTTTGTTGTCAGGCAGGGGACACTTCTTCAGCCTGTTGTCGCGCACAGTGCCCGTTGCTCGGATGCCTCTTTGACGGAGAGCTATCATCAAGGCATACGACGAGAAGTAGTTGTCAAAGAACACATGGTGCTGGGCAGGCGTCTGAAGACATTTACGGTGGCAACTGATCGTCACCTTCCGGTGGCAGTATTACCAAGTCCAGCCCTTCATCGTGGTCATCACTGGCAACAGCAGCGATTGCCTCACTCAGCAGGCGCACAGATCTACGCGCCATGGTCAGGACGATAAGTCACCACTCGTCACCTCTGCCGTGCATCACTCCCCGAACGCACTTGGCAGACTGAGAGCTTCTGTCTCGGGCACCCGAGGTGTGTTGAGTGTCGATACCAACGACCCTACTCCATTCGCTGACATTGGCGCCGACGGATATGACACTGCTGGACGAGACGACGCTCTATCATCCGAGCATCAGTAACGTGAGCGATACTGTCACTTGACACACCGGGTGTAAGACCTAGCGTGAGAGCAGAACCAGCCAGAGAGGACGTGCAAATTGAGTCAGTGGAAATTGAGAACAAGTGAGAGTGAGAGAAAGAGAGGGAGGGAGGAAATGGTAGATGGAGAGAGAGAGAGAGAGAGAGAGAGAGAGAGAGAGAGAGAGAGAGAGAGAGAGAGAGAAAGAGAGAGAGAGAGGAGAGGGAGAGAGCGCGAGGAGAGAGAAAAAGAGCTTCGCTTTTGCCTTCCAATGTCAGTCCATTATGAGCTGACCTACCCAGTGGATGTGCCCAATGTTCCCATTTGGGAACATCCAAATTTTGGAAGCCCCCGAAGCTTTTGTGGTGAAGCATTGCTTTTGATATCTCTCCCGTACAATTGGAACTTATTGTTGAAGCATTACTGGAAATTATAAGGAAATCTATCAAGAAATCGATTTTAAGGAAATTATTTTCTTGATGAAGGTACAGTGTAGCAAAAAAGGGCTATTTCGAAAATCAAGAGAGGTGCTTTATAAGGGTGAAGTTCGAGTTTTTTAGGCTGCTAAATTTTGTTCAGGGCTTCAGATACCAGAACCAATATTCATAATCGCTGTGCGATCCTAGGATCAGAGCCTAGAGCCAAAATTGTCGATGTTCCCAAATGGGAACATTGGGCACTAATGGGTTAAAGTGCTGCACTGTGCACAGAATCAGATGAGGTCACATATTGCCATGCTAAGCTGTCTGGCCATTAGGTAGGTAGATGTTACCACACTACTGCCAACCCCATGAGGTGTTAGGTATCATTACTTTAGGAGTTTTTTTTTGTATTTTGGCAGTGGTGGAGCCAATGTCGAACAGCAGATTATTGAATAATTATTGGTTTGGTCCAATCTTGTCATGCTAGTAATCAGTGCCAAAATATTTAAATAAACATGATATATAACGTACCCTAATGTCAAGTCGTAGCCTTGTTTTAACTCAATTCAATTATGTAAAAACTCATGTCATCATTCAGGATGGGCACTCAACATGAACAGTGACTGCTTTTCTTTATAACTTGTCCAGATGTCAGTTGGCAGCCCTTCCATCAGTGACCTCTGCACTATCTGCACAGAAATATGACGAGAAATAGTAAAAGGTCATCTACCCTTGAACTGTGGAAGCTAAAACACTTTAAATAGCTACCTACCTAATACCAATGTTGAGTTATTGACACCAGATAACAATAGCGATAGGTATTCAGCAATTCTAGATCTTTACTTGAAAAGGTAAATACAGAAAAGACAACTACACTTTTTGTAGATGAAATCATCTTTCATATTATTATTTAACCTTTGCTACCCACTAAGATATACCTAGGTACTTATTTTAAAATAATATATAAGGTTTCTAAAATGACACTGCTGCTAAACACTGCTTCCCAGCAACTAGGTGCCCAGGAACTAGGCGGCGCCGCCGTCGCCGCCACGCACTACGGACGATTGTGTCAGTGTTTCTGCTAACTATGTTGTTTAGATCTTCATCTCTGGGTTTATGATTTGTCATATCCATGCTTTTGTCACTGTTTCGTTGTGGTTAAAGAGTATGTGGTCAGTCAGAGAGCGCGTGCGAGAGAGACCGGTGCGTAGAAGGAATCGGTCCGGTGTCCAGTCCGGTATGGGGCCATGAGGTCAGCTCGTGGGCAAATGCTTTTTTGTTATGGATGTTTATATTATGTTGGCTAGTTTGGTGCGGAGCGAGCGGAAGACAGGGGCCAGGAGCTTTTTGAGGGCGCTGGAACGTCGTGCGTTTGTGACATGAGATCATGTAAAATGTGGTTTGTCGTAATAAATGATGATGTATGAAAAAAAACTAGGTGCCCAGCCCTCTCACTAGTCACCATGTCCATCTACCCCACCAGAGACCTGCCCAGTGCTCAGCCACGCTCTCTAACCCCTTTCCCACCTGCCAGGACACTGGAGCTGGAGGCGGCCCTGCTCAGTGTCCCAGAGGGGGTCGATGTGCGAGGTATCGCCAAATGCCGTCCCCTGCCGGACGATCTGCGAGCCTCCGCCTGGCTGGCCTGCCTGGACATCCAGCAGGATGTCGATGATGGTCTCATGACCTTCACCAACATCTACGACCTGCCGGAGCAGCAGATGATGCGGGAGGACATCCAGCAACTTGTTGGTGAGTATTGCGATTCAGTAGTTAACCTTCCAGGCGGTGGGGGGGGGGCATTTTTTGCCCCCCCCCCCTTTAGTTTTTTCGATATATCTCGAGAACCGCTGCGCCGATCGTCACCAAACTTTCAGTACCCTCCCGGGAGCAGCTAGCGCACGTCATGGTGACCAAAAAATTTTCCAAAGGCTATGATAGGTTGGCCGCTAATGACGTCAGAGTGACGTCATTTTTGCCATTTTCGACCAAAAAAAAGGTTTCGCGGGAAGAGCTGTCGGGCCTACAGCTTTAGAGATACAGGAAAATGTTTCAGACATAAAAGGTGTGGAATTAAAAGGGCTACAAAACTGCTATTTCGGTTTTTCGAATTTTTTGGATTTTGACCCCCAAAAATAAAAAAATAGACTTTTTGAATATAATAGCCAAAAAATTCAAAAAGTTTTTTGAATTTCGAAAAAACCGGAATATATGTGATAGCCCCTATCGCCTTCTATCTACATACCAAATTTGAGATCGATACCTCTTTTTTTGGCCAACTTATAGCGAAAAAACTGTTTAAAATTGATGACGTCAAATTTTCAAACTCAATTTTTAGCAATTCTAGACCTCGTAGCGCAAAACAAAGACCACCATTAGACTCCCCGTGACGAGCTGCATCGAATCGATACCCATTTTATGCAAAAATATCAACTTTGAAATTTGACCTTTTTTGACCTGACCTTGACCTGACCTCCACCAGAAAGTGACCTAAACCGTACCTGATGGTCTTATAACCAACACCATTGAGTTGGAAATGAAAAACTGGCCATAAAACATGCATCGCATAACCTTAATAAAGTTGGGCTCATGTGGTGACCCTTGGTGACCTTTGGTGACCTGACCTGTGACCTGACCTGGTATGACCAGTGACCTCTAATAGCAACATATGTACTAGACAACTGACGCTTTATCGCTGATTTTCGACAAAATGCGTTTTACTCGGTGTTATAGCGCTTTCCCTAGAAGCCCCGTGAACGGTGAAACATTTTATCTTTGACCTGACCTGTGACGTCATCGGTGACCCCGAGGTCAATGAAATTTGGTTTCCTTCGACAAATTTGACAGGGCTATCGAACGCCGTTTGAATTTTCCGGATCCGTCCAGTAGTTTCGGAGATACGGGGGGGGGGGCAAAAAAGTGCCCCCCCCCCCACCGCGCGTAAGGTGGCTGGTAGGCCCACCGCCTGCCGGGTTAAAGGGGAAAATATTTACCGCCCCCAGTCCCCACCCACTGTGATCAGTGAGCATTTCTGACCATTTCTATCCATCTCACTTTTCCCGTTCGTTCTCACTTGTGACACTGTCATCTGACCCTTTCCGTTCGTCCCCACCCGTTGGCCGTGACCCCGACTGACCTTTCCCGCTCGTCCTTACCCGGGACTCGACCTTCTGACCGTTTTCTTCCGTCCCTATCCGTGTCGCCAGTGAACGCTTGGTTCGGTCCATCGCTACCGGTGAATTTATCGGACTCGAAACCAAAAACGCCCCTCCGTCCCCACCCCTCAGACCGCATTGAACCTCCCCTACCTGTGACCCTGTCTGACCTCCGCTCCCTCCGCCGCAGACCGGCTGGGTAACGACGAGGGTGACCGCGTGTCGGTCATGTCGGACGTGGAGTCAGTACTCACCCACTACTGCAAGTCGCAGCGGGACACTTACCGACGCGGTAACGGCTGGATGGACATACTGCAGCCCCTGGTGCCCCTGAAGCTGAACAAACCAGAGCTGTATTTCACGTTCACAAACATACTACAGCGGTACATACCAAAGTGAGTTGCTTGTGGGATTGGACTGGTGGAGATCTCATACAGCAGATGGCATAGGAGGGGCTGCCTTTCGATATAGTCGGAATGATGCTGAGAAGTCATTTTCAGAGTTTGATGACTGTTTCATTTATAATTCAGTGTGTTTGTGGTGCTGATAAATCCGTCTTTGATGAAATGAACAGCCTCTCCATTTTGACCAGAAGGGCTACCGGTTCAATGGTTTGAAGTTTGAATGGTATCATGTGAAGCCTTTCGATCCGAAGACCCTTCTACGTTAGGTCGTAGATGGTTCGCAGTGCAGGGCTTCGTTACCTACTGACCAGACTACGATTATCGCGTCAGGAACTGCACCAAGGACGGCGACCCGTACCACCTGCTGCGGCTGCTGCTGCTCTACCACGAGCCGGAGCTCTGCAACTTCCTCGATACGATGAAGGTGGCGCCCGACAGCTTCGCAACCACATGGGTATGTGCTGTGGCTGATGGTTGCTGCTGAGATTTATGTATGCTGAATAGCTTCGAAATGTCGCATATTGACATAAGCTGCATTCACGCCGATCTTTGGCATACGCCGCAACACATTTGTCGTTGTTTTATCAAGAGAGGGCTATCTGGAATTCATTATGTTCCATTGTTCCTTCTTGTTAACTTTTGGTAGATACTTGTTCAGAAGTTGGCCGTTTAACTGTTTCGTTTCTTTTTGTATTGTATTCTCTTTTTTGCATCATGACTTCATATAACCTCATAATGTCGTGTGTTTCGTTTCAGCTGAACAGCCTATTCGCGGCCACCTGTGACCTGAAGGCGCTGCGGGTCATGTGGGACATCTACTTCCAGATGGACGACCCCTTCCTCATATTCTTCCTCAGTCTGGTCATCCTCGTCAACGCCAAGTAAGTCTGAGTCAGCTTCATCTGGGAGTTGTCGCTTATTAAAGTTTTTGGAAATCAAAGCGCTAAGGAATGGTACTGGATCGTTACTATGCTAAGGTGTTGTGTGGGTGAAACAGCGACGCTTGACAGATTTTATTACCCAGATGAAATTTTGCTTCAGCTTTAAGGATTGTCAGTAATGATATTTGATTTGTGTTTAGTAAAAACCCACCTTAGCACAAGATGTGTCCCTGATTAACTCCCATCTCACTGATACTCTTTGCTCTCCCAGGGACCAGATTCTGGAGCTGAAGGGCAAGCCTCGCGCTCAGATCGTCTCCACAGTGGCCTCCCTGCCCTGCTTCATCCAGGCGGATGACGTGCCAGACTTCTGCGAGCTGGCCAACTTCTACTCCATGAGGACGCCGAAGTCGTTCAGACGGGTATGTAACTGCGTGTGGCTGACTTAGCGAGGCAGGACTGACCTCGATCTTGGATATCTGCATTGCTTTCGTTTTCTTATCGTACGCGCACTTATTTTCATGTCCCTGAAGTATTACTTGTTACGCTGACAGCATAATATTAGATTTTCTATAAATTTGCAACAATGTGATAAGAATTTACAGGGTATTACTTTTGTTATGACTTCTTCTAAATGAGTTTGATCTTCCTCTAAATGCGTTCTTGACATCTCTTTTACCGCCCGTCCGGCAGAAGCTGTACCCGTCGCTGTTCGGGGTGTGCGCGCCGCACCTCTCGTCCCTGCTCACCCCGACCGTACCGCTGGCTCAGTCTCTCTGTCTGCCCGTCTACGCCGACGAGATCCTCTCCAGTATGGATAGCAGGGACGCACCTGATGTACTGCCGGAGACTGAACTGGTGAGAGGGGAGGGAGGGAGGGAGGGGGAGAGAGAGAGAGAGAGAGAGAGAGAGAGAGAGAGAGAGAGAGAGAGAGAGAGAGAGAGAGAGAGAGAGAGAGAGAGAGCCGTGGGAGGCGTGTGGTAGATACGGAAAATGTCGAATGTGTGTGTGGAGATTGCGGAATATTTCCATAAGTCAGTGGGGGAGTCGGAAAGAGGGGGAAGTATCTGATGGATGGGGATGCGCTGTATGCGTCAGCCGTCTGTGTGCGTCGGGGCTGAATGCTATATGCGTGAGTGGTGACTGAAGAGATCTGATGGCTGTCAGGAGTCGGAGGGAGGGAATAAGTGTGGTCGCGGAGGAGGATTGATAGCAAGGGGAGTGTTTGTGAGTGAATAGAGCCTCGCGGTATGGGCCGGGGGAGAGGCACGACTGTTAATGGGCTGAACGAGATTGGCCGAATACACAGCTGCTTCCAACATACAATATTCTTTCAGTAATGATATTACTGACCTGATTTCTAAAAAACGCATCGGGTCTGGAAAGGTTTTGCCCTTTGATTTTTCCATTTGTGTCTCGTGTCAACTATCAAAAGAAGATCCCGCTTTGGGAAAAGATAAGATGCATAAATGGATACTGATGATTCTGATTCACCAATCGAGGGCTTTGACCCCAGAGACGGAAATTGGGTCACCGCGTCGAGAAAGAAAAAGCCTAAGAGAAGAAGGGATCAAGCAACTAACGAAAATGCTCATCAACGACAAACAGCAATCGGACGCAGCCGCCCACCGGCCACCACCCAGCTAACTGCCTCGCTCAGCTGCCAGGCATGCAGAAGCCGGAGTTCAAGGAAGGCCGCAATCACCTGCAGCCTCTGCGGCCAGCGCTGGCACACGTCCTGCGCTAAGCTGACCATCCAACAGGCGCGAGCTCTCTCCGTGTGGCATTGTCAGCAGTGCCTTGGCCGCCCGGCTGCCACTTTGGAACCGCCCACCCAGACGTCAGAAGCCCCACTCTGCGGGATCGCGGCAGGCTTGTCGAAACTCCGCGCCAGCACGAAGGTTATCGCCCGGATTCCGAAAGCTGCGCGGTCTTTAGTCGCCGATTCCCTGTCAGAAGTGGTGAATGAGGCAGTCAACAGTCCAACCTCATCATCATCGTGGTGGAAGTTTCTGTCGTTTGCCTTTGTTGCTCTACGCACACCCGACTCGACCAATAGCGGGGAACGGGGCCCAACACTGGCGTCACACATACGACGTCAGGTGGCCGGGCTAGACTCCGCCGCTCCGCCCTCGCGGACGGTGGAGAGGCGCGCCCCTACTCCACGGACAACGACTCCTGACTCTCTTGCTCGCCGAGTTCGTGCTAAGTGCGCCGACGGGGATATCCGGGCCGGTCTCCGTCTCCTGACCTCCAGCGACACCTTCGTCGACCCTAGTGCCGAGGTCATCGCCGCGCTCCGACTGAAACACCCGCTCGCACCACTCGACCAGAGCCTACCGCCACCTCCCGCGGCCTCCGACCCTCCCCCGCTCACTGTCACGGAGGAGCAGGTGCGGGCCGCCATCTTCAGCATGCCACCAGGATCGTCTGCTGGTCTCGACGGCATCCGGCCATTACACCTACGACAGCTGCTCTCCCGAGAGACCGCCGAGTCCGGCCGGCGCCTCCTCTCCTCCCTGACGGCCCTCACCAACCTGGTTCTGCGCGGCCTCGTGCCAGAGTGTGGTCGCGACGCTCTATTCGGAGCATCACTCTGCGCTCTGAGAAAGAAGGACGGTGGTCTGCGCCCGATAGCCGTTGGAAGCGTGTTCCGCCGCCTGCCAGGACGCATCGCCGCGAGACACATCGCTGACATTATCGGTCCGGAGCTACGCCCCACCCAGCTCGGGGTCGGCACCCCGCTGGGATGCGAGGCCGCAGTGCACGCAGTGCGGGAATTCATCAACTCCGACTCCACCAGCTCAGACACACCGCGAGTCATGGTCAAAATCGACGTGCGTAACGCTTTTAACACCATCCGACGGGACGTCATCTTGGCCAGGATTCACGAGCGCTGCCCGGAGGTCTACCCGCTGGCCTATCAAGCCTACCACCTCCCAACACCGCTGCACATCGGGGACCAGACGGTACTGTCAGCGACCGGAGTCCAGCAGGGGGATCCTCTTGGACCTGCCGCCTTCGCACTGGGAGTCGACGCATGCGCCCGAGCCATAAGATCGCCTTTGAACGTGTGGTATTTGGACGACGCCACGATCGCCGGCCCGGCTGATGTCGTCCAGTCTGACCTCCACTCACTCGCCAAGGCTCTGACAGAACTCGGTCTGCAGCTGAACCCGGCGAAGTGCGAGGTAGCCATCATCGACGCGGCGCCCCAGCTAGCTCAAAACGCAGCGGTCGACAGCATTCGCAGTGTCCTGCCGGAGATAACAGAAATCCCTCTCCACAGCGTCACTCTGCTGGGCGCACCACTGCAGGACGCCAGCCTCACCGCAGCTGCCAATGGTGCCGCCGAACTCATCGGACGCCTATGCACCCGACTGACGCACCTGGACCGACACACTGGACTTTTCTTTCTCGTCCACTACGCGTCAGCGCCTCGCCTCCAGTACCTGCTGCGCTCAGCGCCCCTGTACAAGGTGGTGCCCGCGCTCAAGCTGGTGGACGAGCTGGTGCGAGAAACTCTGGTCGATATCACAAACGTAAATATCAATGACCAGCTGTGGGAGCAGGCAAAACTGCCATTCAGACTGGGAGGTCTCGGAGTTCGCTCTGTCGAGGACCTGGCACTGCCGTGCTACATATCTTCTCTGCACGCTGCTCTGCCACTCCTCCGCAGCATCTCTCCGGGGCTGCTTCCGGCCAGCGGTGTGCCACCAACCCTGCAGACAGCAATTCACCGGTTTTCTGAGGTGACAGGGACCGAACAACTGCCGCCCGCCTCAGCTGTCAGCAGCCAGCGGGCCTGGGACACCCTGTCAGCTACTGCGATTCGCGATAAGATGGTCAACTCCGCCAACCAGCTGCACCGGGCACGCCTGGTCGCCGCCAGTCAGCCACACACGGCCGCCTGGCTGCAGGCTGTGCCGGTGCCGAGTCTCGGCCTACACCTGGACGAGGAGTCGGTGCGGGTGGCAGTGGCTCTCCGCCTCGGAGCCACAGTCTGCGAGCAGCACCGGTGCCGTCTGTGCGGACGTCAAGTGGATCAGCTCGGCCACCACGGGCTCTCCTGCGTGAAGAGCGCCGGTCGTCTCCCACGTCACGCCCAACTGAATGACGTGGTGAGGCGCGGACTGGCAAGCGCCGGCATCCCCTCCATATTGGAGCCAGTCGGACTCGACCGGGGTGATGGCAAGCGACCTGATGGCCTAACGCTGTTTCCGTACAGCGGAGGCATGTGTTTGACATGGGATGCCACATGCGCAGACACATTTGCCGACACTGTGCTGATTCAGACCGCCCTAGAGCCTGGTGCCGCCGCTCGGGCCGCAGAAGACAGAAAACGGCGCCACTACTCAGAAATCAGCTCCCGCTTCAAGTTCGTGCCCATCGCAGTGGAGACCTCCGGGGTACTCGGCCCCGTCACCTCAAAATTCATCCGCGAGCTGGGCCAGCTCATCACCACCCGTACCGGCGAACGACGCGAGACCGAATGGCTATTACAGCGTCTCTCGATCGCTGTTGTGCGAGGCAACGCCGCCGCGGTTCTCGCCACAGCCGCCACAGACCGGGCGAGGGCAGACCGCCGACAGCAGCCACCACCAGACGTGACAGGGGTGCGCACCCGGCCTTCGCCTCCTCCGTCTGCGACGACCGGCCGAGCCTCAGCAAAACAGACAGCAAGGCAGGCCTCACCCGAGTTCTTAGCTGACGAGCCGCTGGCACTCCCGTCGGAGGAGTCCTCTGCACCGCCCAACACCAGACTGTCTCACCACTCACTGCCCGGCAACCCCAGCGAAGACGGCGGCGGGACTGGCAGTGAATCTGACGGCAGACCGCTCGGTCTCACCGGCCTCAGGAACACGGGCAACACCTGCTTCCTGAACACAGTCGTCCAGTGCCTGAGCAACACACGCGCTCTCCACGATTACATCCTGCGCGATGGACGCTCCTCAGATGCCAGCATGCCTGCCGCCGCTACGAAGGGGTCCCTCATGAACACATTCAGCGCCCTGATACGCGACATGTGGACATCCTCGGACGAAACGGAGCGGGTGCTCACCACCGCACCACTCAAGTCGATGATCCAACGGCTCGCGCCACGCTTCATGGGCTCTCAGCAGCAGGACGCGCAGGAATTCCTCAGATATCTGCTGCAGGGACTTCACGAGGACGTGAACCGGGTGACGAGCCGGCCAAAGCCGATCACGACCGACATCGACGACTCACTGAGCGCCAGTCAAAAGTCAATGGAGGCCTGGAAACGTTTCTTGCGCCTGGAAAACTCCAAGTTTGTTGACCTGTTCGTGGGCCAGCTCAAGGCTACCCTGCGGTGCACGGTATGTGGCCACGCATCGGTTACCTTCGACCCGTTCTGGGATCTGAGTCTGCCAATCCCGTCACGAAGTGGCCAGGTGCGCCTACAGGCCTGTTTTGACCTGTTCACCAAAGAGGAGGTGCTCGATGGCGACGAAAAACCGACCTGCTCAAAGTGCCAGAAGCGCCAAAAGTGCACCAGGAGCCTCTCGATCCAGAAGTTCCCTCGTATCTTGGTGGTCCACCTGAAGCGGTTCTCGCCGCAGGAGAGGTTCCGCGGGAAGCTGAACACCACTGTCGACTTTTCGGTGAACGGCCTGGACCTGTCGCCCTACTCGGCCGGACAGACGCCCTGCCGGTACAGCCTATACGGCGTGGCGAACCACTCTGGCACGCTGCTCTCAGGACATTACACCGCTCACTGCCGACACCCGTACACGGCAGAGTGGTACGAGTACAACGACTCGCGGGTCCACGTGATGGACCAGAGAAGCGTCAACAGCGGAAAGGCTTACGTGCTGTTCTTTGAGCTGGCCGGCTCGAAACACCGCTCCGGCTCGACCCACGTCTAGTCATCCAGTCACGGGAGAGGAGCCTGCGATCGTCACCCGCTCGGGCCCTGTGTAGTCACACCGACCGGCGCACATTCTGCTCGGACAACTCTAGCCAGCGGCCTATTGTGATTTGTGATATTGCGTGTAAGGTGTTGTGAAAAACCAGAACAGCCTTTGGATCTCACTGAAAACATTGGCAATAAACAAAACAAAAAAAAAAAAAAAATATTCTTTCGTTTGTTCTGTTCGAGTAGTGCTTTTATCTCCGAATGGCACACTCTTCCATTGTTCAAAGTTCAATCTCTGGTGTGTATTTCAGGTGAAGTTCTTCCTGGTGGACTGCCGGCCGGCCGACCAGTATAACGCCGGTCACCTGCCCACCGCGTTCCACCTCGACTGCACGCTGATGCTGTATGAACCCGCCGCGTTCGGGACCGCCGTGTCGGCTCTGCTCAGTGCACAGCGTCAGGCGACGGCGGCGCAGCATTCGGCGGCCGGGGAACACCTGTGCTTCATTGGATCAGGTAGGGGAGGAAAGGTGATAGAGGAAAGCACAGGAGCGCGGGGGGAGGGGAGCATCCGTGCCTCATCTAATCAGGTAGATAGGGAGAGAATGTGTGATAACACTCGGACGCCGGAGATCACCTCTTCTTCAGTGGATCAGGTAATTACCTGAGAAGAGGGGAGGGGACAGCATAGGACCGCGGCGGGGACTGCACCTCTGCTTCATCGGATGAGGCTGGGATTGAAAAAGTCCAACGGATGTCGATACTGAAAGGACAGGATCTTTTTAGATCGGTTGAGTTGAGTCATTGGTTGTGGTGACTATTCAATGAATCTAGGTTTAGGAATTGAAACGAGCGAAAAGGTAGTGTTTCGACGGGAACTACCGTGACTGAAGTATGGATGTTGCAGGCACTTTAGAAAATCAGTCATTTTGTAAAATGCCTAGGCATTTTACAAAAAGACGGCTGTTTGAAAAATGACTGAACGCAACCAGGCTTTTTTCAAAATGGCTAGCTATTTTACAAAATGACTAGGCATTTTGCAAAATGCCTGACCAGCATGGAACGTAGATCCCACTACAGATACTATGGCCAACAGTTTTTGGACGTCTTCCTATACCCTATAGGTACGTGTTCAGCCTGTAGCTGATCGATTTGATTTTGAAGCTCTGTGATGGCGACAATGCTGAGTAACGACCAGGTTGAGTTGCAGACTCGGCTGTAGCATAAAGCATTGTTTAGTTAACGCTGTAAAAACTCCCAAGTACATCAACGCCGTTCATGTTCTGCCTGAAACTAGACCTAACAAAACCAGCCGGAGACCGGCCCTAGTCAATAGGCAGGCCCGGTTGATGTACAATTACATGTAAACGAATGAGTGTAGTCTTTGTTTGATTGTGTCTTTGTTTGACAGCTTTGAGTACCTACTTGCATGGTCCCAGTTAGAAATAGCAAGCTCCACATCGGGAGAATCATCAGGTCGCTTGGCGTAGGACGAGAGCGTTGGTTATAGAAGACACTAACGCCTAAGTGTGTGGGATCGAATCCTCGCGAGCTCTAATGGTTTTACAGATACAGGCCGGCATAGGGCCGTCGTTTGTTGACGCTCCAGATCGATCATTTTAAATCCAGCAGCGTCGCTGACGTGGGGGTTGGAAATGTCGCGGGCCTGCACTTCTCAAAATAGAGAGAGGTAGGTATGGACTTCCCACCGCTGGACTCCTCTGGTCATAATGCTGGACTCCTCGGTCCACCTACACGCTACCAAAACGTATATAATTAGGTACTCGTATCTACAACACGCTGCTCAGTCATTTTGTAAAATGGCTAGGTATTTTGTAAAATGCCTAGGCATTTTGCAAAATGACTGGAGAGTCAGTCATTTTGTAAAATGCCTAGGCTTTTTGCAAAAAGCCTGGAAAATCAGGCATTTTGCAAAATGCCTAGGCATTTTACAAAATGACTGATTTTCTAAAGTGCCTGCAACATGGATATGAAGTGGCTGGTTGTTGAATGTGAAACTCTTAGAAGTGTTTTTGACGCGCTGCAGCTTCAACAGTGCTGTTAAACGTTGAAAAAGCAATGCAGTGCTAACTGTTCCCCTGCTTGTCTTCGCTGCAGGTCGGGAGAAGGAGGACCAGTTTCTACACATGGTGGTTGCCTCCTTCCTTCAAAAACGCTCCCTCTATGTCAGCAAGGTCGAAGGAGGCTATCAGGTAACGCTTCGATTTCAAAATTGCTTCCTTCAATGTTTTTCGCTTCTTCATTCTTTTTCGTTAGCTGCCGCGCTCTATTCGGTGACTGTTTCCACTGAAGAATTCGTGTTTCAACTCGGCCTATACAGGGCTGTGGGAATTCGTAGGTGCATGGTTTGTATAGAATACCCTGAAAATCGTTGCTGGTTTTCTGACTGATATACCAAACCGGCTCCGCCAAAGGACATGGCCACTGGCCAGTCTCTCCATCCATATTCACGTCACATTTCTCTCCCCTCCTTACAGGCGGTGCACGACATGCTCTCTGAGAACCTCTCGGCTCTGACGGACCACAGCGCGCGCCACTGCGTGGTCTGTACCCCAGACGAGGCACCCGCCGGCGCTGGACCCGGAGGTGACCGGCCGGACGCGCCTCAACCTCAGCCCGCTGCCGGCACCAAGGTCTCACTAATCGACCGCCTGAACGCGCGCTGGAAGATGAAGGGTCAGCAGGTGAAGGAAAAGCTGGTTGATATTATCACGAACGCAGCTATGGAACAGCAGACGGAACGGCATGTCAGCAGCCAGGACAAGGGCAAGCGGTACCGCAACATGGCGCCCGTCTTCTCACTGGATGATGACGAGGATGGACGTGAGTGGAGGAGGAGGGAGGATGGTGGAATTAAGAGCGGATATCTCATGCGGACAGGCAGCTGGGCGTTTCAGAGAGAGGATGAGGGAAATCAGTGCCCATGAGTGGTATGGGACGGACTCATGCGCGTCAGTAAGGAGTCATTTGCTTGCTGAGGAAAACGTGGTTAGTGAGTGTGGTAGGTTAGGGTTACCGCACGGCCGAAAAAGTATGTGGGGTGGGTGTTAGAACTGCTTCTGTGGCGTTCTATAAGTGTCACAGCTCACTGCATATGTTTGTGTCATTTAGCAGGAAGTGACGATGCACGCCTTTATGTGCCCGTTTTTCTGTTATTTAGCAGGGAGTGACGAGGAGCTGACGATGCCAGTCGAGACCACCATGGAGCTGGTGGAAATCGCCGACTACATGCGGAAACCGGAGCTGCTCGAACACTTCAAGTGCCAACACATCAAGGAGAACAAGCAGGCACATCCCAGGTAATGATGATAGCTGCGGCTGGGGAGACTACTGAAGGACTGCTTTTTTGTTTCCAGTCGTGACGTGTGCTTAGTGCTTACTGCTTACCCTAGGAAAGAGAACGACAGGTCTGCACATAGTTAGTTGCATATCGTTTCAAGTTTGTCATGTCGAATTAGCTCATTTACCAAGACGTGTATCCTAGTCGTTTTTGTTTATAAGCCGACCCGACTATAGCTCACATGACCTAGTCTCGACAAACCTGACCGATTATCATTCCTACAGCTTACTTCTGGTGACACCTACCCAGCTGCTGGTCTTGCGAGAGGTGCCCGACAAGCCCGGCTGGGCGCGACTGGCCGCCCGGCGCTCACTCACCTCCGTCGTCACAATCACCAGCAAGAAGAAACGACCGGAGTTAATTACCTTTAAATATGGCGTCAATGACGGCGACGGCATGACCATCACGGACTTGGACAGGTGAGCATCATTATTCAATATTCATGGATAATTTAGATGAAGATGAGAGGAAAGTGGTTGTCTAGGGGATTAGGCACACGGATAGAGCATATGAGGTCAGTGTGGTGGGGTGTATCAAGGAAAGTGTCGATGGGGTGGGTTGGAAGAGGTCGTTGGAACTGAACGGGTTGTGGCTGTGGACGAAGAGACGAAGGTTGGGTTGACTTTGGAATGACAAAGTTTGTCGAAGAGTGTCAGTGACGCCTCGAATTGCGTTCGGCTCACAGTATGCCGAACTGTTAAGTGGGGCTCAAGTGTTTTATACGTTTTGGTTGGTATGGAACTTTTCAATGAGCCATTGTTACCACTACTGCTCGCCAGCAGCCGCTAGGTAGTCCCTTACCGTGACTCATGCCCCCCCCACCCCCCAGCCCCTACAGGGTGGAAAGTAATTACGCGAACATACTTTTTCGTCTTCTAGTAATGAAAAAAACGGCGGTGACATAAACAATATATGTTTTACTTTATCCTTATCTAGTTGCGATGCATTGACATAGGCGTTCCGGCATGATTTACATCAGCATGTGAAGATCTGTTGGCCAAAGCTCAGCCCACACCTTATGGAGCTGTCCAGTGAGGTAATCGGTATTGGTGGCTCCTTGCAGCTTTTAGACGGTCTCCTGAGGAGTCATCTGGAGATTTTTAATCGAATTGAGGCCCAGGCGTTTCCCAGATCAGCTTTTGTATGTCCTGAAGAAAAACAGGTTCTCACAGCACCAGTATTGCGTTTTGTTGGCCGTGAAAGTAAGGATTTCACCAATCACGAAGAGCAGTTTCTTTGCGTCAGGCACAAAAGTGCGCTCAGTCATTTTGCCCCTTTCTTTGCACGGTGGATTAGACAGAGACACTCGTCTTGGAGGATGTTCCACCGGTTGTATACTTTATTTTTAGTGACCTTTTTTAGCGCTACACGCAATTCTGACACCACCCGGGGGCTCGTGACCCACTGATGTGTTCCTTTGTCGGATGTTTGAAGGTTGGGACGGACGGGACATAGGACGCAACAGCAGCCCTCAGAGCAGTTGTTCTGCAGGTTTGACGGATGAAACAGTTTCACAGATGTCTCACCCAACCACAAATCCAGCTGCCTGTCCTCCTCTGTCCATCTTTGATTGTCTTTGAAAAGCTTCAATTAACAATTCTGCTGTTAATTCGTGAATTTTGGTCATCCCGAGGGTTTGTACGACTTAATTTTCGAATTTTTGCGCATTAATGTGCGAATCGTGATATCCTAGATCGGGTACCCGGCCAGAGTAAGCTATTTTGCCAGTTTTCGGGTCGACTGGCGTCGTTTTGTCGCCGACATGGTGACCACCCACCCGGCAACAGAATTCGCCGAGGGGTTGCTGCCGCGGACGGCTTTGCTTTTTAAGTCCTCAAGTGTTATTATGTTTTAAGAAAAACGTATAATTGTGCAATGCTGGTGCTGAGACCGCTACGAATCCCTTCTCCGCCAGTCCAGCGAAAATAATCACAAACGCTTTCCCTGGCAGCTCCAAATTGAGCTCTTTGCCCATTTCGGTCTTGTGCAGCGTATGGTGTCTGCACCATTTTAAGTCGAGAGGTGTTTAAGACCTTCCAGGTCATTGTTCAAAGTAAGGTCACTTTTGGTAGATGAGGCGACAACAAACACGACCAATTATGTTCCATGACAGCCCGTACTCATAAAAATGCTCCACTGACGGTCAAAATTGTAAGAAAATGTTCGCGTAATTACTTTCCACCCTGTAGGTATTCAATTATATACAATCATTGTCCGAAATTCTGTTCGTTTCGTTTTTTATGAGCTGCCTATGTGCCCTGTCTTGATCTGTGTGCCTGTGCGTGCTGTTGTGCTGCTATGTATATAGATGTGTGCTGGCCTATGTTCTGTTCTCTGCAGTGCATTATTCGTCCTGACCTGTGCACCCCTCCCCTCCCCGCCCCAGGTTCTACATCCCCCGCGCCGGTGAGGCGACCAAGGCGGTGAAGATGGCTATTATCCGTCTATCCGACGACACCCTGGGCCAACCTTCTGACGGGCCACCTGGTAAAACCAGACAGCGAGAGGCAGGCGAGCCAATGGAGGCGGGAGAGAGTGCTGAGGCGGCGGCAGAGGGGGCGGAGGGTGCCAGCGAGTCGGCGCCACCAGCAGAGGCGGCTGCACAAGAGGCGTGACCGGAGCGAGCCGAACGCGAGGCAAGTCCGTGACCATTTTCCAGTAACGTGTGGCTACCTTAAGCACGTTAAACACGTTCCAGTAACGTCGGTCCAGTTGAAGACACGTGCGGTGATTGGTCCAGCGTGCAGCCACGCCAGGCGGTGTCAGTTGTGAGCAGTGTTAGACGTGGTACCGACCGACGTAGCATCCCCCTTGTAACCAGTGAAACGAAGGCCGTTTTTGTCTAGTGATTTGATGAAGACAGGAGACCTGCCGACGCGTGAAGCCGCTTCATCCTCCGCGAGCATAGCCGCGATCCTAGAACGCCTGAAGGCTGGAGCGATTATGAGAAAGCGGCGACACCGGCAAAAATCGTGCTGTGTGAGAACGCATTGGCTGTTGCCCGGGTCGTGATAGCCGCGAGCCCGCGAGTCGCAGCTCCTGCCGTGCTGGCTTGCTGTGGTGGTGCGCTTGGTTGTGGACAGACTGAAGCTGTGAGGATTCTGTGTGCTGTGCGGTTGGAATCATGATGAATTTGCATAGTGTGATGGATGAACTATTATAGACATTCCCAACAGATTGGTGAGTGTTCTTAGTCCTCGTTGGGTAAAAGTCACATTAGCTAGCCGCTTGGATTGATGCAGAATGCCTTATCATTATCCAAGATTGAGCTGATAATCATTAGCGACCGTAGTTGGTCAGTGGGGTGATGACATAATATCATCAGCTTTGGTTTCTTGTAAATGTGTCGTTAATTTATTTAATTTAATATCTATTCACATAATTATCGTCGGACTCGGCAGGATATATCAAGGTTTGCATCTTATCTGATATATTATCCATGCTTGATTTTCAAACAGGATTCATTTATGTTTATCAAATGCTGGATTAGTACGTGGATTGGCTATAAGCTAAGAAGCCATGTGCCCGAAGGTATATATCGGACAGCTTTTGGCGAAGTAGTGAGGTTGTCTTGCCGCAGTAGGCCCATGCTCATGTGTAGTACGCAGTGTCAAATTATCCCAGCGATGCCGATCTGTGTATATTGTGAGATACAATGTGAAGTGGATGTTTATCTTTCGTCAGAATCAGTGGCGAGAAAAGTGACCCCTGTGTGAGATCCGATCCGCTGCGGGCTAGCTTGTTTCTAGTCAGTCGGTCGGAAGAGGGCTGATTATTGAGTGACTGGTGAAAAATATGACTTGTGACGTCATGTGTGAACCTGTGACGTCAGCTCTGTCCATGGTAGAGACCCCAGAGAGCGACATTGACGAATGCGATTTATTGGTCCGTGAGGTTCAACTGTTCTACCAATTACGGTGTTTGATTTATGATGCCGTGTGGGTGTGTTTTGTGTCCGGAAATTGACCATTTCGTCTGTGTGATTCTGCGGTTGGGTCACTCTACCGTGTTCTGTAAGTTGTAACCCCCCGTTGCGCATCGAATTGTGTTGCGCCGGCGCGACTGCCAATGAGGGTGCATTGAAACCAGCTCACCTATCGAAAAGGCGATGTACCAGTGGAGGTTGTAAGACCGTTGTTTCGTCCAATGCCCATGTTCTGTTCCCGTGGGGGTTTGTGCTGCCACAAACGCTAAATATATACCTGTTTATCTTGACTCGGGAATCTGTGTGGCAGATTGCGTAATGTACGATAGCCAGAGGTGCATTGGGTGCCTTGTGCGACGGTATCTAGTGATCCCAAGCCCTGATTCATTGATGATGGCTGATAAGTGTCCATTTCGGATAAAGGAGACGCCGCCACCCATTAACGGTGTCGTTGGGGTCTCAGGTCAAGGCTCAGAAAGTTGAGCTAGGTACGGCACTTACTCGTGATCTTGCAAGGTATTTTCGTGCGAGTGCGAAGTTCATGTTGCTAAGGAGCTTTAATTACGACACTGAAGTGCATTAACCCGCGCCCTGCTGGGGGTCCTGGATTTCCACGCCCTGCTGGGGGGGGGGGGGTGTTTGAACACCCCCCCTTGTAACTCGGCTCCTGGGCCACGTAGCGATACGCGGAAGGCGGCGTTCGAAAGAGCGTCAAAAATAATGACGAAATCACTTCGGTCAATTTTTTGGTCAGGTCAAAGGTCAGGTCACCAGAGGTCATTGAAGGCAAAATTTCGCCGATTTCCAGGTCGAATGTCGAAAATTTCCAAGAAGCCAACGCATAACTCGGGAACCAATAGAGCTACAGCGCCGCGGAAAAGCGCATTCGATAGCCCTATTAACGCCCTTTCTGAGTAATCCTCTCAGATTTGACCTAACGTCAACGGTTTTGCCTGCAGGGGGCAAAAACTGCAAAAATAGCCGATTTTTTCGGAAACAGTTTTTCTGCAATAACTTTTGACCCAAGCCTTGTACGAGCTTATTTTTACCGGCATCGTGTTCCTCTCGTCAAGACGCATCGAATGAACTATGACTTGACCTTGAAAGGTCAACTTGAAAATTTGACCTCAGGTCAAGGTCATGACCTGACCGGAAAGGGTCATGTTGCATATCAGTCGATCCGTATCGTCGAGCTGAACACATCTAAGGCGTTTTCAGCGCTCTAGCATGCCTCTATCAAAAGTTATTTGCGAAAAACTGTTAGATACCATTCGTGACCTAAGATGACCTCAGGGCATAAACAAGGGTCACGGACACCATTTTCAAGTTCGGTGTGTCTAAACCACTTGTAATTCGGTGTTTGGGAGTGTTTATAATGTCTTTCATCCAAAAGAGGCGCATTTCAATTTTCTCCCATTGACTTATAATGGGGAGGTCGCAAAATTGACCTGACCTTAGGTCATCGATATCAAAATTCTGAGATATACATTTTGTACATGCTATTGCTCTTAGCAATCGCTGAAAGTTTCAAAGCGATCGGTCACTCGGTGTAGCTATGACAGACATTGAAAGTTTTTATGAGGTGAGGTCACTTCAAGTGACCTGGTGACCTGACCTTGAATGACCTTGGTCTGAAATTTTCACAACATGTGTAGAATTAATGTATGATAAGGTGTACCAAAAACGGCGGCGCTCCGCGCCGCCGTTTTTTAGATATTCGCGAAAAACCACAAGGGGGGGTGTTCAAACACCCCCCCCCCCCCAGCAGGGCGCGGGTTAAGCAAGAGGCAAGTGTGAGTGCACTCACATTGCTCGACATCTCTTATCTGCGGGTAAACGAGCCTCACTGCCCGGTTGGCAGCCCGGTTATTAGCTCTTGCAGTTCGAAAACACTCATCGCAGATCGGATTGCTAGCGTAGTGGGTCATGCGCCCTGTGCCCTTAAACTCGTGTAAATTTACTTAAAGTAAACCTTTGCTTTTTGTGACACCTGACTACATGCCACTCTGAATATTTTTATCTTTAATAAATGATTTGTAGGGAAGATACCACTGGATCCAATGTGCATTTATGTAGAAGCTTCGCATTTCGAGCTCCCATATTTTCCATCGAATCTCCGGCTCTGCTATCTGAGTCCACTGACATGGAGCTACATCGGTTCTAAATGACCCTTAGAAGTCACGATAGCCAGAAATATTCCACTCGCGGATCCCTATCCTTTGCAGTCCTCTATCGTATACCAGTATACACTATACACTCAGTCCCTCCAAGTTCCACGCCCCTAAAGTTGAACAGACGGCAGGCGAGCGCGAGCCGTACTTATTCTCAATGTGAACGGAAGGCCGCCTTTACCCGTCGGCAGTGGCGACTGCGGTCACGCTATTGGAAGTCGTGGGACGACACTTCCGAGTATGGTCACGCTCCAATAGCCGGGGGATCAGACGGCTGGGGACTTCTGTCGCCGAAGAGAATGGGTTCCGGGATCCATCGAGAGATGGAAACTAAATGGGCGGGGCTGAGGTCAACTGGCCTGGCAACAACCACATAAAAGGACGGCTAAAGACGGTAACTAAAGACGGTCAAACAATCCAAGTGTTACTATGTAGCATGTGTGCTGTCTACTCTGCGTGTAGGTTAACCCGCGCCCCGCTGGGGGGGGGCAGAATCTGCCCCCCCTCCCGTTTTTCGCCAATAACTTCTAAACGCGTTACGCCAGCGACGCCAAACTTTCAGTACCTTATCATACATCAATTTGACACGTTCCCTGAAAATTTGAGCGAAATCCGTCGGAAAATTTTTGAGAAATCGACGTTTTAGTGACGTCATGTTCGCCATTTTCGCCTAAAAAACGGCAAAATTTCAAACGCCGCTAACATCTTCATTTTTAAAGGAATCAAGACGTAACAAAAAAGGTTATACGTGATTCTACTTTGTCTATCAAATGGCTATCTCGGTTTTTTGAAAATTTTGGATTTTGGCCAAAATTTTTCCAAAAAACTGACTTTTTTGGGAAAATAGTTATAAAATCCAAAATATTGAGTTTATCGAAAAAACCGGAATATATGTCAAAGAAGTGGTCTATGTGCACCTACATACCAATTTTTAGAAGAATCGGTTCAAAAATGTGGGAGTTATTCAAAATTTTATGACGTCACGACACACAAAAATTTTGAAAAATGATTTTTTTGGAAGTTCTAGACCTCGTACGGAAACAAAAATAGCACCATTCGATTCGCCGTGAAAAACTGCATCGGATAGACACCTTTTTAGGCCTTAACAACCAACTTCAAAATTTGACCTTACTTGACCTGACCTTGACCTGACCTCGACCTGAAATTCACCCAGAGGTGGTCCATATCACTTATTGAGTGTGCCTATTGAATTCCATAAGTAAAATGACCCATAAAACATGTGTCGCACATGCCCTTTTCTATATTTTGTTTTTGGTGACCTGACCTGACCTGACCTGACCTTGACCTTGACCTTTGAATGACATTGTGTGCAACGAATATTGTCTTGGTAGTCTAAGAACACGTTTTGGGCAATCAGTCTCAGTCCATTCTTCGGCAACTACGGTGCAAGGCCGATACTGTAGAAACTTGCATTTTGTACCCTTGACCTGACCTTGACCTGACCTCTGACCTACTTAAGCAAAAAAATTTGGGCTCTTAAGATCCGCCTTGTTGAGAGCTTTCGATTGCCGTTTTCCCCGTCTTTCTACGACCATCGGTTCGGAAGTTAGACAGGGGGGGCAGAATCTGCCCCCCCCCAGCAGGGCGCGTATGGCTGAATAGCCCAGCGGGGCGCGGGTTAAGAAAAGATCGATTTGTGAAAGGGATGTGGACGGTTTGGTCCCAATTGGATGGGGATACTGAAGACTGACTGAAGAAGAGGTTCTTTAGGTCCTGTAAAGAGACGCATCATGCCACTCAGATAAAGTTCATGAGTGTGAGCTCCCGCGTATCTGAGTGAGCGTGTGAACTTTGAACACGTCTGCCCACGCCAGTTTGACTGGAGCGCGCGTGTGAAGAGGGATCAGCGGCGCCGGAGGGTCACGGCGCTGATCGATCCACTCCTCACGTGCCCCGCGCGCGGCGTCCCATCCTCCACTGACCGGCGCGCTATCGACTCGCCGTCGACAGCCTCTCTGCGGCTCTCAGTGTGGGCGCGCCGCTCGCGCCGGACGGCAGCATGGGTCACCCGGAGACTCTCCCCTCTCCGGCGCGCCGGCAGCGACGGCTCTCCGCCGCCACCGACTTCGCCGTCACCTTCTTCGTAGCCACCCTGCTCACCACCTGCGCCTGGAAGTCGATCTGGATCCTGCTGGACGCGGCCGTGTTCCCGAACGCGGCGCGCCCGTCGGCATGGACCTCGTTCACTATCGGCGCCGTAGTGGTTTACATGCAGACCTTTATGCGCGATCGGCTGCAGCTGTATTTCTTCCGCGGCAGTGCCGGCGCGGCGCGGCGCCTGGCCGCGCGCGGGGTGGTCGTGTGCCTCTGGATCGGAGTGGTGTCTCTGTGGCGTGGCGTGTTCCTCCTGATGGACACCGACTCGGGCCTCTCGTGGTTCTCCTACGGCATGTTCGCCGTCGCCGGGTTCGTCGTGTTGGCCAAGCTGCGCTTCCTGAACACGTGTGTGGCGCTGCCACTCGGCGTGGATGTGGACCTGCCCAAGACGTTCTTCAGTTTCGAGTCGCCATTGGATACAACGGTGAGAATAGCGGGTTGATGGGCTATGGGTTACTGACTATAATCCGATTTCCGAAACATACCTATCGAGGGCGCAATTGTTCAAATATTCAAACCTAACTGAGCGACTGTTCACTGTTCAGGCTCAAGCTTATCGTTTTGATCAGGCGTAAGACTGTGTAAGCCGAAAGGCTAGCTAATCCTGGGCATCCTTGTGTTTAAAGTGCCTTGTGCTATCAAATAACAGCATTCCACAGTTATCCGCGATCATCTACTGAAGACATTCCATTTGATGACACCACCCGGCCTCAGCGCAACCGCTGATTGTTTGACACTTTAGAGCATGTGTGATACCGCTGATAAGCTCGTTTCCTCTTTTTGTCGTTCCTCAATCCTCAAGTGTCCTTTCTGTCCGTTTTATTTATTTGTTTGTTTGTTCGCTTGTTTATTAGTGTCCGTTTGTCCGTTGTTAAACAAATTAACAAGCCATCGCAATTTTAATAAGACAGACTCCTTTCATGTTGAGCCACTAGCCCGCTAATCCTTAGCGTAGTTTTTATTAGCCGTTTTCACGACGGCCATCTGGTACACATTTGGTGCACATTTGGTGCAGATTAGGTGCAAATTTGGTCAAATTAGGTTCAGTGTATCTCTTAGAAGCTATCAGCTAGGGTTGCACTAAAGGCTTATATGCCTCCTTTGTCATATTATCAGAGAGTATCATCGATTACACTGACATAAATTCATAAAATGAAGATATTTGCTGTAAAAGAGATGAGGTGCAGATTTGGTCAAATTAGGTGCATTTGCCGGATAGCCCGTCGTGAAAACGGCTATTATGTATCCTTTATTATGTATTTTTATGTATCTGTCCGTCTGTCCATCTGTCCATCTGTCCGCTTTTCCGTCTGTCCGTCTGTCCGCCCCTCTATCCGTCTATCCGTCTGCCTGTTTGTCCGTCTATACGTCTATATGCATGTCCATCTTTCCGTCTGTATGGTTGTCCGTTTATCAATCAGTCCGTTCGTCCGTCTGCCCGCCTATCCTTGTATTCGTCTATCGGTCTGTCCGTTTGTCCGTTTGGCCGTCTTCACGCTTGTCTGCTTGTACCTTTTATCCGTTTTTCCGCCTGTCCCTTTGTCTGTTTATCTATATGTTTGTTTGTTCGCTTGTCCGTTTGTTCGTTTGCCCGTAATTAAACAAATTAAGAGATCATCGCAATTTAATAAGAACATAATTTGTGCAAATTAGAATCATTCAGATCACAGCCAATTGTTAAATGACCTCGATTGCAATGCGGCATCGTTGTAGTCCTACAGTGATTTCGTAGTGATTCTTCAGTGATTTCGTAACACTTCGTAATGGCTTGATAGTTGATACTTGATAAAGTGGCGACAAGCGTCAAAATGACCTAAATGGTCGACAAACACTGTACTAAGGCAGGGCAGTCTCACATGCCATGACATTAATTAGGTTAGGTTCTTCGAAACACTTCCGGCTTTAAAACTTGTATTGCCGATTGTATCGTCCTGCCTCGTGTCTGTTTCGAGAGCTTCCCTCCTCGCCTGTTCTCTAATCTCTGAGCAGCCCTCATTGATCGAAGCCGTAGCGTGTCGAATCGAAGTCGTAGCGTGTCCATTGCGTGTCTTTACAGAGCCGTGAGCCCGAGGTTGCGGACGGAGTGGTTCGGATTACAAGTGGTGCAGCTGAAACCGATTTCCGAAAATAAAGACAAGGGCCGGCTGTCGAACGATTCTTGCTTGACGTGTCATACTTGCGTGTCTGCGATTAAATAAACTTTATAGATAGTGCAGGAGTCTTTTGGAATTTTAGCAAGCAAATTTGAATGCGCAACATTTCCAATTTTTGATAATTTCAACTAACTAATGCAACGCCATGCCATGGATGAACCGATGGTTCAAATGGCATAATTGATATGCTACTTCTAATATGCACTTTTCGTCTTGGCGAAAGGTTTCAACGTCAATTTTAATCTAACCACAGGGCCTTTTTCGTTCTTTTCATTTTGGGCTTCGTGTCATTTCATCAAGATTGATGTGCTGAGGGCACGCCCAGACATGCCACAGTATACCACCACAAAACGACGGAGACACCGTTTCACTGTGAAATGAGACGCCGTATCCAGCAGTGGGCCTGTCCCCGGGGCGCCCTTCCATTCCGTCTACCGAATTAAACTAGACCTGGGAGCAGGTCAAGGCGGCCAGAATATAGAAACAGAATGGAACGGTCGGTCCCGCTCAGGATATTAAACCTGGAGAGATGCCGTATAATGAGTGCTCTTTATCCCACACATTCAGTTACGTTTTTGTCGCAACATTTATGTTACAATCAATGTGAGCTTCCTTCATTCTTCCTTTATTTTATGTAGTTTACTCTTTAAGCCTGTCATCTGCCTTTTTCTAACGCTGTCGTCTGAATCTGCACGATGTATCAATAGATAACAAGTCCTCTTTCGCTGCTGTTTGCTACTTCATGGCTTCACCATGGGCAATGCAGAGGAGGAATATGCATTTTGTATAATGTGCATGGCGATTACCTATCCAACATCACCTACCGCACGTTCGGCAGCTGTCGGACGACTACCACCTGCGCACGATGGACGCGTTCCTGAGCGTGGTGCTCACCTGTATCAGCACCTTCCTGTGGCGCGGACTGTGGGGGTTCTTCGACAAGATCGTCCTGCCCGGCGACCCGCCCGTCTCCACGGCCATCTCACTGGTATGTCGAAGACGCCGTAGAAGCTACTTTTATTTCGTAGCTTAACCACTTCCACTAACGACTTGACGCTTTTGGGAGTTGTTACCTCGCGAATATATATTTTACTGTGAAGTCCTCACCAGGCTTGTTAAAGTTTGTCTTAGTGTTAGGACTTACTAGAAGTGAGGCGCTCCCGCTAAGCTGGGTGTTTCATCAAGCTCAAATCGCCCTACTCAACACCCACCTGCAGAGAGTTTAATCTTGTCCCCGAATTCCCATCGGCAAGCCATTTTACATACCACGTATCACTTGTACATAAAAACGGAAATCCGTCTAACCCTCCCCTCCCTTCCATCTCAGGGTGTGGGTTTCGTGGTGTGCGCGCTGAGCTACGCCATCCAGTGGCCGGTGGTGCGGTGGTACCGCCTGCTGCCCTTCGTGCCGGCGCTGACCGCCCACGACCTCCTGGCCCTGTTCGGACTGACGGGCGTCATCAACGTCTGGCGCGGCGTCTTCCTCTTCTTTGACGTCATCCTTCCCGGTGAGCCGATCTGAGTGAAGTCTGCGCGAAATCGACTGGTCTCATGTCACCAGTGTGAGGTCATGGCTGTGGCCGACTCGACCGCTGGGACGTTTTATTCTTAGCTGGCTATGTGAAACATATATAATTTATCTTGTTGCATGACTACCAAGTAATCTGTTGGTGACTGTTATCATGGAAACTGTTCCGTAATCCAATGTTTGCAAGTCGCAACACATTGGCAATAAGTTCATTTGTAAGCGTAAGCTCATGAAGCTTTGATAACTCATCGGTTCAATCAGCTCCTCCGAAACCTTCAACAATATCGTGAAGGTTTCTGAAGTGAAGTGACTGTTCGTCCCGTTGCTCCCCCCCCCCCCCCGCTGCAGCTGACATGGAGCCTTCGCTGCGGCTCGGCTCGGCTGCCGCGGTCTCGGTGGCCTCCGTGCTGCTGCTGATGCTGTTCAGGATGTCGAAGAACCTGCTTCTCTGCGGCGTTCAGCGCGACCTCATCGGCCCCCTACCCTTCAACTGTAGGTGTTTGTCACGTCTGCTGCAGGTGGGTGCCGGTGGCTTTGGGGCGAGCTGCATCCGACATGATATCTTGAAGTTTCGATTGTTTAGCTTTTCTTCAAAACTATTTCACTGTGCGAAGCTTCATCACATATTTAGATTGATGTCTGTCTTGAGTAGTTTGAGCAGCGCATGGAAACGTATTACATACACCAAAATATGACGTGATGCACCATCGAGCCAATTATGCCATCCGCATAGAAGGTGACTCGGTATACCTGCGCATGAATCGCATGGCATCTCATAAAGGCTGCCACAGTCGGGCGTCAGAGCAATAGACATTGTGCAATAGACATTGTGCAATGTGCGCGTGAACCTAGGATTGAATAGCCGAGATCCAAACACCAAGCTACACGTATGCTTAGCATTCTCGGCTGTGGCCTGTGACGATATACTTCCCGTCAGGTTTAGATAATAAAAGCACATTGGGCCTTGCACAGGAGCACGCTGTAAGTACAGTTTGTATGCTGATACGTTAACCCGCGCCCTGCTGGGGGGGGGGTGTTTGAACACCCCCCTTGTGGTTTTTCGCGAATATCTCAAAAACGGCGGCGCTCCGCGCCGCCGTTTCTGGTACACCTTATCATACATCAATTCTACACATGTTGTGAAAATTTCAGACCAAGGTCATTCAAGGTCAGGTCACCAGGTCACTTGAAGTGACCTCACCTCATAAAAAGTTTCAATGTCTGTCATAGCTACACCGAGTGACCGATCGCTTTGAAACTTTCAGCGATTGTTTTGTACATGCTATTGCTCTTAGCGATTGCTAAGAGCAATAGCATGTACAAAATGTATATCTCAGAATTTTGATATCGATGACCTAAGGTCAGGTCAATTTTGCGACCTCCCCATTATAAGTCAATGGGAGAAAATTGAAATGCGCCTCTTTTGGACGAAAGACATTATAAACACTCCGAAACACCGAAGTACAAGTGGTTTAGACACACTGAACATGAAAATGGTGTCCGTGACCCTTGTTTGTGCCCTGAGGTCATCTTAGGTCACGAATGGTATCTAACAGTTTTTCGCAAAAAACTTTTGATAGAGGCATGCTAGAGCGATGAAAACGCCTTATATGTGTTCAGCTCGACTATACGGATCGACTGATATGCAACATGACCCTTTCCGGTCAGGTCATGACCTTGACCTGAGGTCAAATTTTCAAGTTGACCTTTCAAGGTCAAGTTATAGTTCATTCGATGCGTCTTGACGAGAGGAACACGATGCCGGTAAAAGTAAGCTCGTACAAGGCTTGGGTCAAAAGTTATTGCAGAAAAAACTGTTTCCGAAAAAAATCGGCTATTTTTGCAGTTTTTGCCCCCTGCAGGCAAAACCGTTGACGTCAGGTCAAATCTGAGAGAATTACTCAGAAAGGGCGTTAATAGGGCTATCGAATGCACTTTTCCGCGGCGCTGTAGCTCTATTGGTTCCCGAGTTATGCGTTAGCTTCTTGGAAATTTTCGACATTCGACCTGGAAATCGGCGAAATTTTGCCTTCAATGACCTCTGGTGACCTGACCTTTGACCTGACCAAAAAATTGACCGAAGTGATTTTGTCATTATTTTTTACGCTCTTTCGAACGCCGCCTTCCGCGTATCGCTACGTGGCCCAGGAGCCGAGTTACAAGGGGGGGGGGTGTTCAAACACCCCCCCCAGCAGGGCGTGGAAATCCAGGACCCCCAGCCGGGCGCGGGTTAATTATATAGAAAAGCTTTCGTCTGGGCTGCTTTTGCTCGTGATGGGCTCTTTGCTTTACCTATCTGTGCATTGTCATGTGTGTGTTTGTGTAGGTGGTGTCCGTGTGTATGTTACGTCTGATTCGTGTTTGTGTGTAAATCTGTGAATGGAAATATGAGTCCACCGAACAACACGAAATTGTCAATGCTCTATTCTTCAAAACATTACCACGTCTCACTTGTGGCACGGTCAAAATATCGCCGATGGAAAACCCAATGAGTCAAAGTGTTATATATTATGCTCGATATTAGATAAGCTGTGTATAAGTTTTGGTTTACCTACGACAAATTATTCATTTGAGCGTTCTCTTGTTGTAGTCATGAGCTGTAACCACGAAGTCACAAATAGTCACGAGTCACGAGTGGTCACGAAGAGCACCTCCGTGCACAACCACGGCGACCTTCCGGACGCCAGCGTCGACATGGTGATTGGTGGACAATTATGGCGCTCGATAATAGCTGTGCTGGCCTTGATTACATGGTACGGGACCGATCAGACGAAAACAACGCAGCAGCGACTGCATTGTGACAGAATTGCTTGCATTATTGCACAGCAGTGATGAGTACAGAAAGACCATCACGGGCATGGACAAAATACACAATCTTCAAAATGATTTATAAGGACAGCATTTGGTTAGAGGGCATTTGATTAAATAACTGAAATCAGAAATCTACACTGTAAAAAATATTGACTAGCCCCTCGTCAAATGATTCTCAACGCTAAATGTCGGGGGTACAGACTAGTTTTGCATCCTACTTTTGACACACGCTGCGAGCCCCTGGCTTGTTTTGTGTTCGTCAGATGACAGTTACCAGGTGTCGGTTAGTTTTTACCACGTCCCAAAAATAGCTGGAGCGTTTCTGCCTTGTTTTGGAAGCAGGTCCTCGTTAATGCTGTGTATGATAACAAAGTACCTAGTAACAATAATAACGAAAAACAATGTCAAAACGAGGGCGGCTTGTTTAGTGACGATGTTCAAAAGAAGCATCGTCTTGTTCCTACTTAACGAATGAAGCTCAAACTAGGTCAAAACTAGGGGCCCAACTAGGCCCTAATCAACCCATAGTCAGATGACCAGCAGATCCTACGCCGCCCAATCCAGTCATCGAATTTGCCAGCGAATTCGTTTGAAGACCATCATATTATTAAATATCGGTGGTCTTCAAACGAAATCCCTTACCAGTTTGATGACGAATTCATCTGGCCCATTCCAAAAACGCTCAAGATAAAATGAAAGTGCATTTCTGAAATAATGTGCTTTCTTGCAATGCACCTTTCGTATATCAAGCGAACCTTTCACTTCCAGCGCCCGTTTACAGTTATCAATCGAATCAGAAGCATGCACATACCTATCGATAGATCTGAACCTAAGAACACAGAAGACATGTTGTAGAGTACCTGCCTGAGCCTATGCAGTGGAGCCCGTGAGCCGCCCAAACCGCAGCTGCCTCATGAACTTGATGATAGGTCTGAACCTCAGATTGGCCAGAGCTTGGCCGTCAATAACCAGCTTATTTATATCCACAGTTGTAGTGACTTTGGGTTTGGAATTTGCCAAACCTAAGTTTTGATTACCAAGAGAAGTTTTGTACTTCTTGCACTTGCCTTTTCTTCATAACTTTGGCGGAAATCGTCGTAGTGAAACTTCAGTGTTCCGTTAGCTGTCGGTTCTTGAGAGGGTTGGCCAGGCCGGACACCGGGGGCGGCTCCACAACTTTCGAAAAATTAAACCTAAGTCCTATTGCACTGCATGGAGAGCAATTCATTTAAAATCGCTCTTGCCCCCCCCCCCTCGACAACTTTGCAAACGTCTCTGCGCGATTTGGTTGAGAATAATGGCTTATGGCAAGTTATTGAATCAGAACGTCGATCACTGCAGGTCATATATCGGCAGGCAATTCTTCATAACTAGACACTGCACAAATGGAAACGATACAGGTTTGCCCAGTGATAAACACTCGCACTTCACAGACGCGCACACCCCTGACCGAACGCGGCACGGCAGACCGCAACTGGCGCCGGGAAGCCGGGAACGCATTAAGTGAAGGATTCACAGGTGCGCAACTTTACTGCGAACAATAAAAACCTACCGCAAACGATTAAAAAAAAAGTTTTAGAGCAATCGGAAATACAAATGTACCTATTGACTAGTAGAAATAAAATTGTCATTCACCTTCCAAATAACCCAACAATTTATTTGCCGTAAAAAGTGTCTGGAAATGGAAAGTTGCAAACATGATTCAGCAAGTAGGGAAACGCAGCAGCTACCTGGCGAATAATCTCAGGCTGGTTTAGTGACGAGTGCATTGCTACGGCTTGTTCCTCGCCCTTCACAGATTACTATGACAAAACTACCCCTAGTATTTTGATCATCCTGTGGCTGGCTTTCACCTAATAATTTGATGAGGGTCTTCCTCGTTTCGGATTGAGGCGAAAACAAACGTCAAACAACCTTGATAGTTAATTCAGCACTTCAAAACAAAGGTACACCTTAGGGTATCATTACAATACCGGATCATAACGATCTGGATAGTTCTCAGCCTGTAAGCTAACTAAGCGGTAACTAGTCAAGTGGTAGGTACCGGAAGCATTGACAACCTGGTGACTGTTTCGAGACCCTTGTTTTGACACATAGGTCGTCAATATTTTTTACAGTGTACACTGGAAAAGTTGAGGTCAGAGTCAAACAATCATTTATTGCTAGCTTACATTCCCTCTCTTCGCTATGCTATATTATATAATGTTTTTCTTTATTGTAGGTATTGTAGGTAAATTCGCACAATATAATGTTATGCCCCATTGACTTATACTTCCTATGGGGAGATAATACGGTTACGCCATTTTTTACATAATTGCGCAAAAACTGAGCTATGTTCACATTTCACACGCATCCCAATTTTTCAGTGCTGGTGCGATTAAAGTATGGCGTTTTCTTAATGCTAAGATACAAAACGTCACTAGGTGCGATGGGGATCGTTATCGGTTATCACTGGGCGGTTATCAAATTAATCTTTGTCGGTAACAGGCATTGGTAAAATCCTTTTTGAAAGGATTGCATTCCCAATCCACATTCCTAGTGCCGAAGTGGATTGCATTCCTACCCGCAATCCCCTTTTTCACTTGGATTGAGATCAAATCCGCAATCCTTTTTTGCAATCCTTTTGTATTATTATGTGCACTAGTGGGTCTGGGGGTGGGAGGGGGGCATAGGGCCGTGCCTCCATCCCCAAATCACCCATTTCTAGTACCTAGTCTTGCGAGTAATTCCTATCTAAGGCACAGGTATTTTATGGGAAATATTTTTTGCCTCAAACACCCCCACATTGAAACCTCTACCCAACCAGTGTTTTATGTTTTTGAAACTCGCCCTCAAATACGTAACTTTGCCCTTCCTATGTAGTTCATCAGCGTATATTATTTTGAGCGTTTAAATTAAAAGCGTTTAAATTATTTCAAGTTTAGATGTAAAGCCTCCTCTTTCAAGTTTAGATGTCCTCCCCGTGGCCTAGTGGATAAGGCGTCCGTCTCCTAACTCGGTGGCAGCGAGTTCGCGGCCGGGAAGCTCCACGTCGTTTGACCCGCGTTCCTATATTAAGCCAGCTGGCAACTGGCGAGAGAGGGCCACCCTAGACCCGGGAGGACCGTGCCGCCATCTACCTGCGGCACGTTAAACTTTCGATCCAAATTATCACCGGTGAACCGGGCGCGGGCAAGGTGGGGTGGTGGGTCCGTGGTGTCATTCGCAACAAGCTCTGCTTAGCGGGGCACCCGGGCCCATAGCCACCCATTCATCCATTCGGACAAAATTTCTGAAAAAAAGCTCCTAATAGCAAAGTACATTAAGCCGATGAAGCCGATCTAATAATTTTCAATCGCAACAAACCATTTCAAAGCACTAATCAAACACAATCCGGATTGGATTGCAAAAAATGGAAGTATGATGCAATCCAATCCGCAATCAAATCCTGTTTTTTGGAATGGATTTCAAATCCAGGTGCAGTCCACCAAAAAGGAATGCAATCAGGATTTTGCAATCCTGCAATCACAATCCTACCGATGCCTGGTCGGTAATCATTGGTGCTTGACATAAGCCGGATAAAACACATTCAAGTGGACGTTATGACGACATGGCATCGACATTTACGGCTGTGTCTTACTTCACTCTCCTCTCTGGACATAGGGAGCGCATTGTGTCGTCTCCGTTGTCTGCTGTACACACTTGAAACGAGATAACCACGCAGGGCTACCCGACTCAGACGCTTTCGTTGGTTTATCAGGATTGTCCTTGGCAAACATCAACTAGCTTATGACACAAACTTCTCACATTTATATCAAGGTTTACGAAGCGATCGGGAGAATCGTTCAAATGATGTTTTTCGTCGTATTTCTCTGCTACTTACTGCAGCCATGAAAAGAGAATAGAAATCGATCACGACGTCTCAGGCAATCAGAGCCGGCACGCAGCCTATTCCTCTGCCAGATTACGGAGTAGTACGACGGTCTGAGGAAAGATTCCCAGCCTGACTACATATGGTCGATCATGACAGAGTCCAAATGGATGCAGAGAAAAATTGCAATAAAATGTTAAGCTACACTAAATTCCCAAATTTTGCATGCAGTACTGCTGAGGCTTCTTAAACTGTTTTGCATGTGTGTTTAATTTGGAACTGGTTTGCATGCAATGATGCGTGACATGATTTTTTTTTTGTATGTACGTACATCTATGCCCTATTGATATATCATTGCAACTGTATATTTCGTTCGTTGCAGTTCTGTCTTTTGTCAATGCGGCTTTATATGATGGCAACACAAACCTTAATATTAAAAGAATATGTGTAACAAGCCCTGTTATGTGGATTTGCGTACCATTTTATTTGTAATTGTCCCTGTATTTTAACGGGTAATGTCATACTTAATGTGATTTTATTTCTTGACTTTATTGATTTGATATTGATATGATTTTATTTCTAAACATGAACCCCGGCGCTATTCTAATTTGTCTAAACAAGTCATTGGTTTATTTTCTCAGGACTTATTGGCGCCGCCGCTGTCCGTTTGTTGCCTCAGCCCGTCGTCCAAACAATGCATGCTGACGTGACCTTATCGCCGGCAGGCCAAGTCGTTAATCAGCTATGTGGCTCCGAAGCCGACAGCGAGACCGATACCGATTCCCGGTCAGATGTTCGTCCACATCCCGAGAGATATTGACGGAAAGCCGGAGACGCTCATCTGAGGGATGGCACACCCGGCCGAGCGACAACTCATCTGAAAATGCACTCGTCTCAGGTGGTACTCCCTTGAGAATGAATTCGTCCGACGACCGGGCGGCTCATGTAAGAGGTACTCGGCTGATGAGGCTCGCACCTGAAGGTGCTTTCTGGGAACCGACCTGGCCCGATTTTCTTCTGAGCGAGAAGTAAGTGTTATGGGAAGGTATATAAAGATCCGGCTTATTAACAGTTCCCTGAGGAGCGAGGCTACGCGAGACCTCCGGAACGATCTTAGTGTGTGGAGGAGTAGGAGAAACTTTGGGAAGAAGGTAATCCTGTGCGTCTTTAATGGTTTTGGCACAGCATCCCGAATCGTCCCGCGCAGACAGGAGGGCCTCAGTGATAAATATGTGCTAGTTTTATGTGTGGCTTACCTTTATTTTCTTCGAACATACATTTAAACTGAAATGATGTTTAGGGCTCAATTTATTGTACAGAAACGGTTTAAGACACTTCTTTTAACATAACACTGTTCAAATGGTGTACTGCAGACTAAACTCAGCGAATATAAGCTGTATGCATGCATGTTACGCATACATATAGTTACAACCTACAACGGTGCTAAGAAACATACCTACCTATTCTTTGAAGTCGCTTTTCCATGCTTCAAATTTGTTTTTGTAAATAAATACCTACGGCGGGATTCATAAACAACAATACAAAAGGCCTGCCATGAATAATGAAACCCAGGTTCATCGCTGATTTTAAAATATAAATGTAAATATGTATGCTTTTTAATGTTTAAGCGGTGCTAAAATGTGTTAGCACCTACACGGCTGAACCGACGTGGGAAATGTCACGTCATGAATTGGTGCATTCGTAAGATGAATGAGTGCATCTTTGAAGTGTGTGTAATGAGATGATATATTTTTATAGCACATAGAGCTTATGCGTCAGGTTTGTGGGTAATTTTGTGAACATATTTATTTACTTGATGTAATAGTAGGATGACGCAGCCTGTGTTGCACCGTTCACGAGCAAGTGCAGCACTTATTACGAATCTGACGGGCATTTAGACGTGCCTTTACGAGTATCGCAAAATGCAATATGACCCGCGTGAAAACCACTTGTCCCGCGCAATTGTTCCGCGAACCAAACTCATAAACATAAACCTCTGCTTCTGCATGCCGAATAAATATTGATAGATGCGATCTGAATTAGGAAACACTGCTTTCAATTATCCCTTGTGAAAGCACGTCGCTTGCAGCTGTAACTTGTTGCTGAACTATGCAACGATACCAATGTACACTGTAGTGTACACTGTACACATCTGATGTATATTGTATAGCATATAGTTACGTATGTAAGTACAGAGGCCTCTTGCACCAAACTACCTAGCTAGGTAAAATCGAAAAACCGGTTTCAGAATAAGCTAATCTAACGGTGGTAAATTTGTTTGCAATAGCCCAATGCATAATCATACATGTGCTTGCTAAATTTTGCACGCAAATTGTTACATTTGAGACTTGGACTGGGTATACGATGCAAAATAATCCAAGCATTGGTGCAAGAGGATTTTGGTGCAAGAGGCCTCAGGTGAGATCAAATCTGCAAGTGATTTATTTCATTGTGATGACGCTTAGACAGTTGTACTCTTAGTGTAGAAAATAATGATAACTTGGTGTGCTTGTAAGCCGTATGTTTTTTGATCGATGTGTCAAATAATAATTGCTCGTAATTGTCTTGACCTAGAGGCGGGTTTTCGCAAACTTCCGTGTATTTACACGCCGTTGTTATAGTCACCGGTTGTTGTGAAACGTTTCGTAATTTATGTGCAGTACTGAAGCAATACAATAAAATACTGGTCCATACGGAATGCAAATACAAAATAACACATACCAAACACATAGGCACATGTCAAAAGATGGCTTATTCGTCCGAGGATTCTCAGGTCTGAATAAGGACACTAATTTTGTTTTCTTCAGCACATTCATTGGAAGACATTTATTAGACATTAGACTGGACATTAGGACATTTACTAAGAGATGCGTTTATTAGCGTTCTAGTGTTATTAACCACAGCATTGTTAACCACAACGCATTATTAGGAATAGGAGATTGCCTACGTTGCAAACAAATGGTAAATAGCTAGCAGAAATAATAAAAATATTGTCTCTAAGTAGGTATGTTCGCAGGCAATGATTCATAGGTGCCAATCTTTATTTTACTAAAGCGGATCGCGGAAAAAGGAATATGGGTATATGGATCTCATTTCAGGAGGTTGTCAACGAGATTGCATAGCATACATAGGGTGTATGGGAATTGATAATAGATCTATGACTATAGCATATGGGCGTTGCAAGAAGTGCATTGGAAGTGCATTTAACCATGCAGCTGGTGTCCGTTGAAATGCGTCTATCAGCACGTGAATCGAAGTGTTTAATTAGTAGGACTCCACAAATGCTTCATAATTCATTTGTAAAATATCATGTTTCCAAGAGAGTTGGTTAATCTTGACGCTTTACGAATAAACTAGATGTACTGTCAAATGTCAATTCAAAGAATTATTTTTTAGAGACTACACCAGGAAATTTGCGAACCAGGAGCATATTCCTGCTGACCATTCGACTTACCGCGACCAACGCGACAGCTGACCGTCGGTCGGTCGGTCGCTTGGCCCACAGCAGAAATAGGCCCTGCCGACGGTGACGGCTCCGGGGGTCGCAGCGGCAGTGCAGCCTCAGAGCCCGTGATATACAGACCAACACACCGACAGGCGCATATAGAGACTCCCGGGCGAGAACCTCCAGAGGGTCACTGAGAGCGAGAATCACAAGCGAAGGGATTCAGCTATATCAACACACGACTGAGAGTTTCCGGTATCAAACCGTCAGAAGCTGCAGAGTCGTTCCAGTTGCGCCAACGCGCTCATTTTCGTCTGTCGGGCCTTCAAACCAAACAGTCCGCCTGCGCTTGTCTCTCAGACCGTCAGCTCAGACTCTCTGTTCGGTCTCCCAGTGCACTAGCTTCTCAGCTCGGTAGCCGTCTCATTGCGCCGTCATGACGCTCGGTGACGATCCCATGATCTCAGTCGACTTCGAGGTGTTCGGCCACGTGCAAGGTAAGTAGATATTGACCTAAGTGTCTGGTTTGTATTGTGTGTATTACGTCTTTGTGATTTGTACGATAATAGAGACAAACAAGCAATTAGCGAACATCAATACCTGTGTGCCGCTACGGCCGAAATAGGGTGGCGGATTGGCGGTACCAACCTTTTGATATGCTGGTCCATCCCATCGGAGTGTTTTTCCGTTTCTCAGCGCATTAGTCCGTCGCGTCAGTATATTGGTCCATTCTGGCGGTATGTTGGTCCGTCCATCAGTATGTTTGTCTATACTCCGTCAGTATTTTGATCCACTCCGTCAGGCGCCAATGTTGATCCACCATGTCAGTATGTTTGTCCTTCCCGTCAGTATTTTGATCCACTCCGCCAATGTTGATCCACCATGTCAGTATGTTTGTTCGTCCCGTCAGTATGTTGGTTCTGTCTGTCAGTGTGATGGTCCAGATCCGTCAGTGTCTGTTGGTCCTCTTGCCAGTATGTTGGTCCTGTCGTCGTATTGGCCTATCCGTATGTGCCAGGACTTCCCGGTTCGTCAGCTCTCCCCCGACAGCAGTCGTCGTGCGGCGGTGGCGGAGCGATTTCTCGTTTATCACTCACGGCGCGTTACCATCGCCAGCCGCCCGCCGCCCGCCGAGGCGTGTCCGACCCGCCCTCTACGACCCGCCCTCTCCTCCCCTCCTCTCTCCCTCTCCCCTCTCCTCCCTTCCTTCCCATAGCCCTCTCAGCATCCCCACTTTGTCCCTCCCCCTGGATCATCTCTCACGGATCCATGCGGGCGACAAGTATAGCAGAAAAACGGACAGAAAATGTTTGTTTCGCGCACACGGCGACGCTTGGTTGAGTCTCAAAATTAGCGCAAGCCAAATGCTCTTAGTCTTCTCATCCCCATTTTAGGACTGCTAACCCAGATATACGAGCATGACAAAAGGAAAGCTCATTATGGACGGATTTGATTTTGAAGCCGATACTTTCTGTGCATTTACATACTCATGCGATCTGTTGGTATAATAGGATGAGAAATGCGAGTAGGTACTGAAAGTTTCGTCGCGATCGGCCGCTTTTTACGCGAGTTATTCGCGAAAAACCATGGGGGGGGATCCATCCGACCCCCCCCCCCTACACATGCGAGGGATAATACCAGCTTAACTCGGCAGCGCGGGATCGGATTTATCGAACTGTTATAAAAAAGTCTCGATTTAACAGTTTCATTGCAAAAAAGGAGTTAAAATGAAGAGCAGTAACAAAACGTAAAAACATATCTATTACCAATATTCCTATCTGAGCTTCAAATCTTCACCACCCCGGGAACGACAGCTTATATCAACTCATTAGCTCGGCCATTCGGGACTGGTGTCCGTGCCAAGTTAGTCGTCAACTATGACAGAATCACAACACGCTGCTGAGGAGCGAATGACGTCATCGGCTCTGTCGGACAGACGGCCAGCGCTCCTCGGAGATCTAAATAACCCGATATCACGAGGTCTTTGGATGAGACTGTAAGAAGTTCAGAACTGTAGCGACGTGGTTGACATATCTAATTCGGTTCCCAGGTAAAAAGCGTTGTAGTTTATCCGTTGAGAGAGATATGTTTCAAAGAGTTTTAAAGAGAGATTTAAGCCCTCTACCAAAGAGATGCAAAAAACATCGGTGCAAGAGATGCAGAGATTCTTTCGGTAAATTAACCCGCGCCCTGGTGGGGTCTGTTTATAACGCGACCTGGTGGGGGGGGGGGGGCTATTTTTTGCCCCCCCTCGTATCTCCGAAACTACTGGACGGATCTGCAAAATTCAAACGGCGTTCGAAAGGCCTGTCAAATTTGTCGAGGGAAACCAAATTTCATTGACCTCGGGGTCACCGATGACGTCACAGGTCAGGTCAAAGATGAAATGTTTCACCGTTCACGGGTCTTCTAGGGAATGCGCTATAACACCGAGGAAAACGTATTTTGTCGGGAATCAGCGATAGGGCGTCAGTTGCCTAGTAGATATGTTGCTGTTAGAGGTCACTGGTCATACCAGGTCAGGTCACAGGTCAGGTCACCAAAGGTCACCAAGGGTCACCACATGAACCCAACTTTACTAAGGTTATGCGATGCATGTTTTATGGCCAGTTTTTCATTTCCAACTCAATGGTGTTGGTTATAAGACCATCAGGTACGGTTTAGGTCACTTTCTGGTGGAGGTCAGGTCAAGGTCAGGTCAAAAAAGGTCAAATTTCAAAGTTGATATTTTTGCATAAAATGGGTATTGATTCGATGCAGCTCGTCACGGGGAGTCTAATGGTGGTCTTTGTTTTGCGCTACGAGGTCTAGAATTGCTGAAAATTGAGTTTGAAAATTTGACGTCATCAATTTTGAACAGTTTTTTCGCTATAACTTGGCCAAAAAAAGAGGTATCGATCTCAAATTTGGTATGTAGATAGAAGGCGGTAAGGACTATCACATATATTCCGGTTTTTTCGAAATTCAAAAAACTTTTTGGATTTTTTGGCTATTATATTCAAAAAATCTATTTTTTGATTTTTGGGGGTCAAAATCCAAAAATTTCAAAAATCCGAGATAGCAGTTTTGTAGCCCTGTCCATTCTACAGCTTTTATGTCTGTATCATTTTTCTGTATTTGCAAAGCTACAGGCCTGACAGCTCTTCCCGCGAAACCCTTTTTTGGGTCGAAAACGGCAGAACATGACGTCACTCTGACGTCATTTCCAGCCAACCTATCATAGCCTTTGGAAAAATTTTTGGTCACAATGTGTAAAATTGATGTCCGGGAGGGTACTGAAAGTTTGGTGACGATCGGCGCAGTGGTTCTGGAGATATATCGAAAAGTCTGGAGGGGGGGCAAAAAATAGCCCCCCCCACCAGGGCGCGGGTTAAGTCCCAATTTTACTTGGAGACTTTCCAAAATATCAGCGTGGATCTATGGAATACGAAATTTTCATCAGGAATTGTGAGTCTTCCTGATTTTCCTGTGCAAATTGTATTGATAGGAAACATTTACGTAAGATTTTGTTTTTGCTAAAGGAAGGTGCTGGAAGAAACATGATTTTCCTTCACGGTTTTCTTATGCCTTGTAAGAAATGGTGTAATGACAACGTAACTGTTCCCGGATTGGCAGCAAGTTCTGCTTAGCCGACACTTCCGACCTCACTCATGCCACACATTCTCAGCACATTCGAGTCTGTATCAATTCGGAGAGCGAAACTGGAGCCCTGTCATGCACCGAAGCTTCAGCATGATCTACAAATGCCCATTATTCCTGATCACACCATATTTTCTCCGCTCTGGACAAAGCCCTGCCTCGTATTCAGTGTGTGCCTGTCGTATGGAATGTTGAGAGAATTTCTGACGCTGAGATCTGAAGCAGCGGGCAGCTAAACCTTTGATCAACACACTGCACGCCCTCGATTGGGGAAAGGCCGGCCCGTTTAAAACGCACTGCGCTGGCGCTCTCTAATGGCTGTCGAAGGTGGCGCATTCAGAAGTCCCGACTCTGAGCTAATCAAGTTAAAAAGCCCTTTCACTTAGCGAGTCCAAGCTTTTGTGTTAATGCACTTTACAGCACCTTCGCTTGTGGAACTTCAGATTGAGGATCCTCGAAAAATGTCGGAACGGGAAAATGACGCATCGATGTTTCAGAGACAAAAATCTCAGTCAGCTGTTATCACTTTTGATCAACATGTCTATGTAAATAATCGGGTACCTACATTGTAAAACTAGCCTGCTAGATGTCAACTATTTGTATTTGTATTAACAGACTAATAACTATTAACTAATAACAGACAAGACGATTCCCCACTTGGTAAATCTCTGAACGCACTGTACTTCTCTGACATCTCATCCCAACCGTTTCCTGTTTTTGTATTATTTTTTGGCGATCTCCAAGGACACTTCTGGACCCGGAACGTATCAGGCCGGCGCCAGTTGGCCGGAGCACCCGCCGGTCTATTGTGCCGCGCCTGTGTCGCTGTCCTGTCGGCGACAGAGCTGGTGGCTGCTTGGCTGGCGCGTGCTCTGCATAATCAGGGAGTCTGGCGTCAGGCCAGAGCGTCAGGTCAGGTCCCCTGCGGTGGCGGTGGACAGCGGGTCAGGAGTTAGTGGACAGCGGATGAGGGTCGGTGGACAACGGGTCAGGAGGAGCAGTGGACCAGGGTTAGTGGACAATGGATGACGGTCGGTGGACGAGAGGTCGGGGGGGGGGGGGGGCAGTGGACCAGGGTTAGTGTACAACGGGTGGTGGACAGCGGGTTAGGCTAGGGACAGTGGATGGTGGACACATGGATAGTGGACAATGTATGTGTCAGGAGAAGCAGTGGACCAGGGCTGGTAGACAGCGGGTTGTGGACACTGGACAGTGGACCACAGTCAGTAGGGCGGGTCATCCGAGAACTTTTTTCGAGGACACAAAATGAAGACCGAAATTCCTACGGAGCATGTCACAAGAAGACTGTGTGAATTTTTTCAATTTTTTTGGTTGAGGTTGCGGGTCGCCGCAGCCAATTGATCAACCGGGTTTTTCGCTACATTTTCACTGCACGCGAGTTTTGAGCACAAATATCATGTAATTAATTATTTTCAAATATATACCTTGAAACTTCAGCTATTCCTCAACCTATTCTGTAAGTCTGTTGGCTGTATCTCTCTAACTGTGGCCATGGTGCCATGCTCTCTGTATCGGTTTTCCGCAACTCGATCGCAGCGCCATCTCTTGAGAGGACTGTTAACCTTGCGTCGGTCGAGACAGTATGCATTCTGCTGATGCGATCTTAGGACGCTGATGAAAAAACGTGAGGCACAGGAGCGTATATAGCGTGAAAGCTGTCAATTGCAATTAAATTAGCCATGAAATTTACATATTAGGGGTTCACCTGACTTTAGCACAGCCATTAATCGCCAAGTGCGATAGTGTCCGCTGGACCTATTAGTCATTTAATTCTGCGCTGAGACTTCAGCAGCATTATTTTCAGTTTTGGCTTCGATTTCTTGCATGTAAATTTAAC